CTGTGTATCGAGCAGTACGTAGTCTCCTGACTGGTACGTGACTTGGCGGCGGTGGCGGTCAGTGTTGCGCTTAGCGATGACATTGGCCTTTTTAATTGCTTATGCGGCTCTGGTGCGGGCAGCTTGCAGAATTTCAGTGAATTGCTGTGCACGTGGTGTTGGGTTGTCCGGACTCGGCGTCATGGGCACTGTAGGATTTTGCCCGTAGTTCAGGTAGAAGGGGGACTGGTGCGTCGTCGCTGACGTGGCATTGTTGTACGCGAACTCGATCAGCGGCAGCTGCTGCTCCCAAGTGGTCGGGTCGTCGCACGTGGCACGAATCAACTGCTCCATCGTCTGATTCGTCCGCTCCGTTTGACCGTCGGTCTCGGGGTGGTACGACGAGCTGAACTGTAGCCTTGTCCCGAACTGCTCACAGAGGTTTTTCCAGAAGTTGCTGGTGAACTTCGTGTCGCGGTCGCTGATTATCGCGGCTGGCATCCCGTGTAGTCGAACGACGGCTGCGATGAACAAGCGAGCGGTTTCTTCGGCGGAGATCGATTTCTTGCACGCAGCGAAGTGTGCCATCTTCGTCAACCTGTCAACGACGACCATAACTGCGTCGTTACCCCAAGGGTTCGAAGGTAACCCCGTGACGAAATCCATGGTAACCTGCTTCCAGGCGCGCTCAGGCGGTGGAATCGGCTGCAACTGACCCGCCTTTCTTTTTCGCGAGCTCTTCATCACCTGACACGTAGGACACGAGCCCACGTGGTGCTGTACGTCGGTCAACAGCTCCGGCCAGTAGTAATACCGCTGCAGTTGCTGTCGCGCTTTTTCTACCCCGAAATGTCCTGAGGTAATCCCGTCGTGTGCCTCCTGTAGTAATAGCTCCCTCAGTAGTGAGTACGCGGGTACCCAGATGCGGTTGGTGCCAGTTTTTACGTAATAGACTCCTCTGGCCTCTGCCAGTTGCTGTGAATTTCCGGTCGTGAAAAATGGGTCGGTACTGTATCCGTGGGTGAATAGGCCTGTTAACAGTGGGTTGGTTTGGGCGAGTAGGATGGCGTCGAGTTGGGCGGTGGGGCGTGTGAGTGCGTCGGCGATGTTGGATGCGCCTTTTTTGTACGTGACCGTATAGTGGAAGTTGGACTCCAGATAGTCCAACCAGCGGATCTGTCGTGGGTTGAGATTCGGTTGGGCGTGAAGGTACTGTAGAGATCGGTGGTCTGTCCGTACTGTCACGTCTGCTCCCGTGAGGTAACATCGCCACACTTTGAACGCGTGCACGATCGCCAACATCTCGCGGTCGTGTATCGGCTAGTTGCGTTCGGGCGGGTGAAGCTTGCGGGACTCATACGCGATTGGCTGGAGGCCGTTCCCGAAGTCCTGCAATAGTACTGCTCCCACAGCGATGTCGCTAGCGTCGGTGACGAGTTCGAACGGACGGTGCGGATCTGCGATGTGAAGCACGGGCGGTGAGCACAAAATATTTTTGAGGGCCGAGAAGGCAGCTTGCTCTTTCTCCCCCCACGTGTACTCAACCCCCTTCCTCAGCAGGTCAGTCAACGGGGCAGTCAGCTTCGCCATGTCGGGGACGAACCGGCACACGTAGTTGACGAACCCCAGAAAAATCTGCAACTCGGTCAAGTTGGTCGGCGCGTGCCATGCTTGAATCGTCGCGATTTTTTTCGGGTCTATTTCCACTCCTGCAGCTGAAATAATGTGTCCCAAAAACTCCAGTCGGTTCTGTAAGAACTCACACTTAGACGCTTTTGTCAGTAGGCGGTTTTCACTCAGTATCTTAAAAACTGCTTCGATGTCCTGTAAGTGATGTGCTCTGTCGGGGCTGTAAATCAGTATGTCGTCAAGGTACACGATGACGCACTTGTCTAAAAGCGGGCGGAAGGCTTCGTTCATGGTCATTTGAAAGGTGGCGGGGGCGTTGGTCAGTCCGAAGGGCATGACGGTGTATTCGAAAGATCCGTAGCGTGTTCGGAAGGCTGTCTTAGGGCAGTCGGGTGGGTTGACGCGGATCTGGTGGTAACCTCCCCGAAGGTCGATTTTCGAGAAAACCCGGGCTGTGCGCAGTTGGTCGATCAGTTCGTCGGCTCGTGGGATGGGGTAACGGGATTTTATGGTAACCCTGTTCAGTGCCCTGTAGTCTATGCACATGCGAAAACCCCCGTCCTTTTTCGGTGTGATCAGTATCGATGCTGCGAAGGGCGACGAACTAGGGCGAATGAATTCCTTCTCGAGCAGGTAATCCAGCTGCTTCCGTAGTTCGTCCAGTTCGGGCTGGGCCAGTCGGAACTGTCGCTGTACTGTTGGCTGTGCCCCCGGTTCTAGTTCTATCCTGTGGTCGTGCGGTCGCTGAGGTGGCAGTCCCGTCGGTAGGTCGTCCGGGAAAATGTCACTGTACTGCTTCAACAGTGCTGCCAGATCACCCGGTACGTCGGCTAGCAGTTTCTGTAAATCCCCTCCTTTGTCTGCTGCCTCGGCTTCCCGAATGTCAACCGCGTACACGTCAGCTCCTGCCGCTACGGCGCGTTTCATCGTGATCGCGTTGACACGCACCGACGAAGACTCAGGCGAGCCCTAGCGAGGTAAGGCGATGTTGTTACCGTTCACTCGCACGGTGCAGTCACCCGTCGTCCAGTCGATTCGCGGATTGTGTCGTCGCAACCAATCACGGCCGAGTAAAATGTCGGTTCCGTCGAGGGTCGTTGCGAGCATTTCCTGACTAAACGTGAAGTTACCCCCGCATCGAATCCGAACTCGGTCCACACGTTCCCTTATCGCCAGTGGCGTGCCGTCGACCAGTCTTGCATCGATCTCAGGTAAACATCTGTCCAGTGGCAGTCGCAGTTTTCGTGCTGTGGCAGTGTTGATAAGGCTGTAGCTGGCCCCTCCGTCTACGAAGATTTTAACTAAGTCTGTCCCAATTTTCCCACTAAGCAGTATAGGGCTGTCTACCGTAGTACCCTCCTTATTCGGCCGGGTGTGGTCGATTGCGTGAACCGGCACAATCACTCGGTGAGGGTCGGTTGGGTCGGGCGAGCGGCGTGACCTGTCAGTAGAGAGCCCGTCTGCTACTGACTCCCAGCGTTTCCCTGCTGCTTGGTCTGTTTCTGCTGCTCAGCTTCCCCCTTTCCCTTAGCGTTCCGGGCATTCGCTCTTACGGTGTCCCGGCCGATTGCACGCAAAGCAGCACCCTTTGAATGGTGCGGCAGCGGCATTTACGGCGACGGCACGTATCGTAGCGCCCTCGTTCGTCCCACGAGGCCGATGTCCCCAATTGCTGCTTCCCGAGGACCCCGGTCTCGGTCGGCGGAAGAAATCAAGTTTCTCCGCCATTGCGAGAATTTCTTGAAAATCGGTGACGCTGCGAAGCTGGATTTCCTGAGCGATGTCCTGCTTCAGGCCGCCGATGTAGCGGTCGATGCGCTCGCTCTCGTTCATGTATCCCACCTGCTCGCATAGCGCCAGAAATCCGCTCGTGTAGTCCTGGACGGAACCGAGTTGGCGCCAATTGTGGAGCCTCTGCCGCGCTGCGATCGAAGCCGCGATTGGCTCGAAACGAGCGCGCAAACCTGCGCACCACGCGTCCCACGTGCGATACTGGGGCACCTCCACGAAATACGACGGCGCCCAGGGTCCGGTTTGTCCTTCCCGTGTCGGTAGAGTCGCGTAGTCCATCGGCTTCGTGACGATGACACGCCACCAGTCCATGGCGGGTCCTCGCAGCAACGACACGGCATAGCGAATCTTCGCCGTATCCTCCGAGACGTAGTTCGCGTCGAAGAAAACATTCAACGTGAAGAGCCACGCCTGAACAGTAGGACCACCCCGTTGACTTGGGTCGAAACATGGCGGACGCTGCGTCTTCAGCGGCATTGGCGACGGTAGAGCTGATTCGCCGGCCGGCACCGAAATCGTGACTCGAGGCTGATTCCTGGCCGCATTCGGTGTGTCGTGCCGTGGTCGTCGTCTCCGTCATGGCGGACGACGCCATCACTGGCCGCGCTCGCGGGTTGCCCCACACTTCCGTGTTGCGATGTCTGTGGTGCGGGCTGTATCGGAGTGCCAGGTGCTTGGGATTGTGTTCGTGCGAGGTCATTTTGCAGGGAGGTGCGTTCCGCCGTTAATGCCGCGATTTCTTCGGAGCTTTCGTGCAGTTGTCGCAGCAACTCGTCCAGGCGGTCCTGCGTGAGGCTTGTGACATCGATCTGCTCTGCCATTCCGAAGGGCGTCGGCTCGTCTTAGTCTAGGCGCAATCGTGGCTGCACGCGTTTACGAGAGAACGCGAGGACAGCGGCTCCTAGGGGCTATGGTGCGTGAGTCCCGTCGAGTGAAAAATCAAAAGTTGATTTCCTGGGGTGCGGAGATGCGCGGTCCGAAAAGAAAGAGGCTCTAAATACCAAGTGTTACGGGTGCAATGAATCGAAGTAGCGAGAATTGCACTAAGGTGTAAAACGAGTACAAAATGTGAGCGAAGGCATGAGCGAACATTTATACGCGAAACATGCAAACGGTAACGTGGTGCGTGCGAGCTAGCTAGTGCTATGCTGGAAGCGAGGCTCGGGCTAGTCCCGAAGCGTAGGCCGACACGGCCAGGCCAGCAGTGCGAGGTTTGGTGAAACAGTGCGCGCGAAGTCGGCGAAGCCCCGTTAGTAGTAATGTTGCAGGGCGTGCTAAGGAATATCGAGAAAATTCCTTACAGTCGTGCAAAGATCCTAAGGGATTTTCTCAGCCCAACAAGTTCTAGGCCTCGTTGTTCCTTCAGACATTGTAACCACTTCCGCGTTATTGAATTCTGCGCACTCTTCCTTTCACAACTCATAACACATTTCGCGAACCCAAATTACCTCGCTCCTTCTCTCCATCCACACTCCTTATCCCCAAATTCCCTGCCCTTATTCTGCTGAACACGTTCGGCAACCAACGCAACGCCAACGCAACTGGTCGAGTCCCGACTACCATCCCATCCCTCGTCAGCCATGGCTGCGCACGTTTCAACCATGCATTGTGACTCTTCTCGACTATTAGGCCGCAATATTCTTTCAAACAAGGCTCCCGCTACTCACCACCGCACAGCGCTCTCGCACGCGCGCATATCCGCGAGCGCCCTACCGTCATCCGCGCCACTCGTCGCGTCTCGATCTCAACCCGTATCACTCCAAGCCGCCGCGCAACGGTTGTGCGAGCCGCGAATACTCGCTTCCGCGCGGCTCTTCGCGCGCGCAGATGCGTCTTCCAGCGACGCGGCGCGCGCCACCCCCGGCGATGCCGCCGCCGCAGACGCCGATCAACCGTCGGATCGGCGGCGAGCGCGGCTGGCGGTGTTCGTATCGGGCGGCGGGTCGAACTTCAAAGCGATCCACGCGGCGTGCGCTGACGGGCGCGTGAACGGCGACGTGGTGGTGGTCGTCAGCGATAAACCAGGTCAGCATATAACGCGTATGGTTCGTCTTTCTGGGAGCTAATGCGGGAGCATATTCGATCTCCACGTGCTGGTGATACGGCACGCGATGTAAGTTTCTGAATGGCTTGACTTTCTTGACTTTCTTGACTGTGTTGCTTCTTTTGACTGCCTGACTCCGCTCAATGTGCTCTCCCTCCCTCCCTCCCTCCCTCCCTCCCTCCCTCCCTCCCTCCCTCCCTCCCTCCCTCCCTCCCTCCTTTCCCCTCGCCACCTCCCTTCCCCGCTCTCTTCCTGTCTCTCTTTCCCCCCGCCCCTCCCCACCAATCTCCTCGCCCCTCGCCGGCACCATCACGGGCGTCGCGGGGAGGTCGCTGTGTGCTTGCGCGGGGGGGCGAAGAGTGCGGGGGGTGGCAGTACGCGCGCGCCAGCGGCATCCCCACGCTCGCCTTCCCCGTCAACGCCAAGCTGCCGCCCACTGAGCAGAGCGGCCTCACGCCTGACGAGCTGCTCGCCGCCATGCGGTGAGTGCGTGCGTGCGTGCGTGTGTCCTCCTCACCAGAAAGCACCTCCATTGGTGCAGCCATTGCCCGCCTCGCTCACTTGCACTCGTGCCCCGCCCAACACTCACCATGGCACCCTGGCCAGCTAGCTCTCCAAAGCTGCTGCCACCACCGCTTGTGAGGGGCGTCCACGCCGTTACCCGTTCCGCCCTTCCCAACCCACTTTCCCCCACACCCTCCACGGTCCAGGCAGCATGGGATTGTCTACGTGGTGCTGGCGGGGTATCTGAAGCTGCTGCGCGCTGCCCTGGTGGAGGCGTTCCTTACTCTATCTCCACCTACCACTTTCAACCCCATCTGTTTACCCAGGCAGCACGGGGTGGACTATGTGGTGCTGGCGGGTATCTGAAGCTGCTGCTGCCCGCCTTACACTCCCTTACACCCACCCACCCGTCCCTTCATCCAACTACTCCACGAAGCAGACAGCAGGGAGTGGACTTCGTGGTGCTAGCGGGGTACCTGAAGTTGCTGCCCGCGTCTCCGCCCTCTCCCCCTACCTCATCCCTTTCCCCTCCCCCCCTCCACCCCTCTCCACCCCTCTCCACCCTCCTCTCCCCTCCTCTCCCCACGCCTCAGGCAGCACGGGGTGGACTACGTGGTGCTAGCAGGGTATCTAAAGCTGCTGCCCGCCTCCCTAGTGGAGGCGTTCCCACGAGCCATCCTCAACATCCACCCCGCCCTGCTGCCCGCGTTCGGGGGGAAGGGCTACTATGGCATGCGCGTGCACAAAGCAGTTATTGCCTCTGGGGCTAGGTGCGTGCGTGTGTGTGTGGCGGCTGCTGCTGCTGCTGCTGCTGCTGCTGCTGCTGCTGCTGCTGCCGCTGCTGCCGCTGCTGCCGCTGCTGCCGCTGCTGCTGCCGCTGCTGCTGCTGCTGCTGCCGCTGCTGCTGCCGCTGCTGCTGCTGCTGCTGCCGCTGCTGCTGCCGCTGCTGCTGCTGCTGCTGCTGCTGCTGCTGCTGCTGCTGCTGCTGCTGCTGCTGCTGCTGCTGCTGCTGCTGCTGCTGCTGCTGCTGCTGCTGCTGCTGCTGCTGCTGCTGCTGCTGCTGCTGCTGCTGCTGCTGCTGCTGCCGCTGCTGCTGCTGCTGCTGCCGCTGCTGCTGCCGCCGCTGCTGCTGCTGCTGCCGCTGCTGCTGCCGCTGCTGCTGCTGCTGCTGCTGCTGCTGCTGCCGCTGCTGCTGCCGCTGCTGCTGCTGAGTGCCCATCTCAACATCCATCCCGCGCTGCCGCTCGCATTTAGAGGGAAGGGCTTCTTTGGCATGCGCGTGCACAAAGCAGTTATTGCTTCTGGCGCCATGTTTGTGCATGGGGCTGCCGTGCTTGGGATGTTCTGCTGTGTGCTGTGGCGTGGGTTGGTGCAGTACAGGTCACATCGCCAGGTGGGTGGCAAGGTCTTCTCGTAAACACTTCACCTCCTCTCCCCTTCCCCACCCCACCCCTTCCCCCCATTAAAGAGTATCAGGCCCAATGGTGCAGTTTGTGGATGAGCGCTATGAGCACGGCCCCGTGGGTGTGTGGGTGGGTGGGTGGGCGGTTGAGAGGGTCCATGCGTGCTCGTCTAGGTGCGTGCGTGGATGGGTGGGTGGGCCTGCTGCCCCTGCTGGGTGCATGCCTAGCGCTTCCCTGCTGCTGCTGCTGGGGCTGGTCTGCCTGTGCTGTGCTGTGGGTTGCGTGAACAGGACAAAGCACTCAGAGATAGAGAATCTACGGTGAGAACGCTTATTCTGAGTGGCTTGAAGCAGCAGGCGGCAGTTTGTCGTCGCACTGATGATGCCTCACTCTGCTTCCTTCCGACCCCACTGTTACCTCTACCATGCTCTGTCTTCAGTCCCTGTTCTTCCCCCTAATCGCTCACCTTCCTCCCCGGTGACATCTTTCTGGTCCCAACCCACAGTCCTGCTGTGCGCCATAGGCCCCCTCCGCTCCAACTGACCTGATCTCCTTGGAAGAGTCAGCTGTGTGTGCTACTGGTGGGGCAACGCACCTACGCTGTGCCATGACAGGCTGCTGGGAGCCCTTCCCTCCGCACAACTCTTTCTTTTCGCACACCTTCGAATACCTCCCTGCTGTCCTTGCCCTGCGCGCGTTACCATTTCCTCTGCCCTCAGGAGCACCAACTGTATGCACGTGTGGTGGCAGCGCTGTGTGACGGCCGGGTGGAGTGGCGGGAGGATGGAGTGCCGCTCATCCGCACATCGAAGGATGGCAACGAGTACGAGTAGAGTGGCAATGGCTCGTTGTGGCTAGCGTGTGCGGTGGAAGCGCTGTGCAATGCAATGGTGGAGTGGAGTGGCGGGAGGATGGCGTGCCACTCATTCGCACGTCAAAGGAAGGCAACGAGTTTGAGTAGAGGGCGCTGCGCACGACGGCAAAGGATAATGGTGTGCTGCTCGTTTGCAGTGATGAATGGGTGGGACAGTGGAGATGGGATGGGAGCACACTGGAAATGCTGAGCTGGTGTGCAGTGGGGGGTGGCTGGTGGGCAGGCAGGCACACATGAGGAATTGGGGAGCAGATAAGTGTATTGCCAAGTTGAACAAATATGGGTTGGCTTGTGGACAGTTGTGCCCCTGTAGGAATATAATGGTTGTGGTCTATAGTGTGTTTTTTTTTGGAAACGCAATTTACATTATTTGGACTTTCAGCTATAGTTGTGTGTATCTTCTCATGCAACTTCGCGCACAAGTCCCCATCGCAATGCATTCCGCAGCACCGCATTCGCAAACTAATCTGAGCTGTCTCCCATGCACCTCCTCCGAAACTACTGGCCCTACTTACTGTAGGCGAAGCCGCGAGCAGCATCGCAGTGGCGTGAGAATGAAGACTGTCGCCTGCTTCCTCGCCGCAACTTATTAACGCGTCTCATCTCACGCGTCTCCAGCGTTTTTCCCTCATTGGCCGATCCGTGTCGTTATCGTTTGCTCCACTCTTCGAGAGGGTGAGACGCCAAGAGCTCGCTCGAAATCGTCTCTCCTCACCACGAGTACATACCTGCCGCCACCTCCTGTCGTTTGCCACTCACAAGAATCGAAATTTATTGCAACTTACACTGATCCCCTTACCTACTAGCTCGATATCGCCTAGCATTCGATCCGTTCGTCTCGCCTTCCTCTTCTTCTTCTCGCTCTCGTTTCGGCCTCTCGATTCGCGCTCTCGTTTCGCGCTCTTTCGTCCTCCTCCTTACCGCCAACTCCAACCCCTCTCTTTCCTTCTCCCATTCAAGTCAGCCGCAGCGCGTTCCCCATGTTCGGCTTTTTCAAAAAAGGCAAGCCGCAGCAGCAACAGCCGCAGCCACCGCCGCCCAGCCAGCCCGGGTACCCTCCCCCCCCGGGGTACGCGCAGGGCGGCTACGCGCCAGCTGCGCCGCCGCCAGCGGGCTATGGCGGAGCGCCGGGGGGGTATGGACAGGCGGGGGGGTATGGCGGGGCGCCGGGGGCCGGCGGCGGGGGGAGGGCGCAGATGACGTTTCAGCAGAAGTATGGATTCATTCCGGACTCGTTCCAGAACATTCAGCAGGTAGGGGGGGTGGGTAAGGGGAGTAAAAAGGGGGAGGGGAGATGATGACGAGCAGAGCGCAGGTGAGAGGAGGAGGAAGGAAGCGGGGACATGCAGCAGGCCGGGAAGGGGGGCGAGGGGGATGGGGTTATTGGGTTGCCGTGGCGCGTGCTGCATGCGCGACGCGGGTGGCTAACGCTGGATGCACATAATGCCGCATGTGTGGCTGTGCGCCTGCCCGCGCCTGCCTGCTGGCCTGCCTGCTGGCCTGCCTGCCTGCCTGCATCCCTCGCCTGTCTGCTCACTCGTCTGCTCGCGTGTCACTTGTGCTCGTGTGCTCGTGTGCCGGCAGGTGCAGGAGAAGCTGCGGGAGGTGGGGCTGGAGTCCAGCAATCTAATCGTAGCCGTTGATTTCACCAAGAGCAACGAATGGACAGGTCAGATCTCCCCTTCCAACCACCCAGATACCGCATCGTTGCTCCACTCCGCTCCTCCCCGGCCTCACACTCTCTCGCTTGTTCCGCTCTCACCCACCCGCCCCTTTCGTTCGCATCTACAGGCAAGCACACGTTCGGCGGGCGGTGTCTACACGCCATAGGCGCGCACATGAACCCGTACGAGCAGGCCATTCAGATCATCGGGGAGACGCTAGAGCCCTTCGACGAGGACAACCTCATCCCCGCCTTCGGCTTCGGTGACGGTCCGTGCCTCCCCATCCCCTCCTGTCCTCTCCATGATAGTCGGCTTGTCCTGAGACGTCTCCCGTTCGGAACATGGGGAGGCCCTCGATTTCGTCGATCAGGACGACGTCACGTTCGTCGTTGGTGATGCTCAGTGGGTTGCTTGCTCCCCTCCCTTTCCGCCGTGCTGTGCGTGTGCACTGCGTTCACACATGCGAGCACGTGCAGGAAAGTAAGCCTGCATTCGAGGCTGCCACCATTCATTCCCCCCCGCCATTCTTTCCCCTTCATTCCACCCTCCCTTCTTCCCTCACCCCCCCTCCTCATCCCCATTGAGCAGCCACAACGCATGACAAGGCAGTGTTCTCATTCAACCGGGACAACCGGCCCTGCAACGGCATTGCAGAGGCGCTAGCACGCTACCGGGCCATTGCACCCCACGTCAAGCTCTCAGGTGCGCTGCTGCTGCTGTCCCCCCCCTTCTGCTCCATGCAGTTTCTTATCTCGTCTCACGCTCCCGCCGCTGCGTCCCTCCCGTATCCCCATTCCCGGCCGCTTCCGTACCTCTCTTGCATTCCTTTGCTTGCTTACCTCCATTCACGCTCCCTCCACCCCACCACCGTCCTTCAACCTCCCTCTTCCAATCTCGCCCCTATGTGCAGGTCCCACGTCCTTTGCACCGGCAATAGAGGCAGCGGTGCGAATAGTGGAGGAGAGCGGGGGCAACTACCACGTGCTGCTCATCATTGCTGACGGCCAGGTGCGTACCTGCTCCGCTCCCTTGTTCACTCTTCACCGCCCGTCACTCCCATTGCCCCACACTGCCTCTCATTGCCCCCCCCCTCATGCCCCCTCGTGCCCACTTCCCCATGCCTCCCCCCTTCCTCTCGTCGCTTTTTCCCTCTTCCTCTCCCAACCTCTCTCTCGCTCACTAACCTTTATCCGTCAGCTCCGCACCCCCCTTTCTGTCCTTTGCAAGAACGGCTGCCTGCCCCGACCACCCCCCCCCACAGGTGACGTGCAGTGCGGAGCGGACGTCCCGCCCATGGCAGCTCTCCCATCTCTCTGCCCTCTCTCTTCCGCCTCTCCCGCTCTTCCGCCCCTCTACCCCCCCCCCAGGTGACGCGCAGTGCGGACGTGCCGCCCGGGCAGCTGAGCAAGCAGGAGCGCGCCACTGTGGACGCCATCGTTGCTGCCAGGTGAGGGGTGCACTGCCGTGTATCGGGGTGCAATGGGGTGCATTGAGGTGCATTGGGGTGCAATGGGGTGCATTGAGGTGCATTGGGGTGCAATGGGGTGCATTGGGGTGCATTGGGGTGCAATGGGGGGAAGAGCATTGGGGTGCATTGGGGTGCAATGGGGGGAAGAGCATTGGGGTGCATTGGGGTGCAATGGGGGGAAGAGCATTGGGGTGCATTGGGGTGCAATGGGGGGAAGAGCATTGGGGTGCATTGGGGTGCAATGGGGGGAAGAGCATTGGGGTGCAGGGGGGGGCTTTGGTACAGGGTGGGTGTTTGGGAGGCCACCAGGGGTGCAGGGCAGGGCAAGGTGCATAATCTAAGCAACGCATGCGCTTTGACCCACTGACCCACTGCTTCAACGCATGCTCTCTCGTCTCGTCCTACCTACCCTTTTCCCAACCCTTTCTCTCTTCCGCTACACTTACCCTGCCCCTCCCTCCCCACTCGCCCCAATTTCCGTTCACATTCCGGTTCGTAATCGCTCACAGGTATTCAGTGCTCTTCTTTACTACTTCGCTCACTGCCGCCCCGCCCCACCCCCCCGTTACCAACTTACCACCATTTCACTCCTTTGTCCCCTCTTCCCTCCCGTCTCCGCCCCTCCCCCCTCGTCCCTTCCCCACCCTGCCAGCAACTATGCGCTCTCCATAGTGCTCGTGGGCGTGGGAGACGGTCCATGGGACGTGATGCAAGGCTTTGACGACCTGCTGCCGGCTAGGGCCTTCGACAACTTCCAGGTACTCACCCTCACCCTCTCCCTCTCCCTTTCCCTTTCCTTCTTCCTCTCTCCCCCCTGCTCTCTCCACTCCTCTCTTGCCCGCCCCTCCCTCCTCGCACGCTGCAACGCCATGACCACCACCCCTCCATGCCAGCAACTACGCGCTCTCCATAATACTCGTGGGGGTGGGCGACGGCCCATGGGAAGTGATGCACAGCTTTGACGACGGGCTGCCGCAGCGCAACTTCGACAACTTCCAGGTTGCTATGTCTGCCCGCCCGGCTCCTCTCACTCACCCTGTTACACACTGTGCAGCTTTGTTGACTGTTGAGGCGACTCAAAAGCCAACTTGTTACGCGCTGTGCAACTTCTCCTGGTGGTCTTCCTGTTGCATTGCACTGTCAAAAGTGGCGTACCCTGCTATTGGTTGGACACACAGGGGCATGCCGCACACACACTGCCACACACCCGTCCCTTTGTCTAACTCTCTTCTTTGCCTCTCCTCTCCCTGTGCGGCTGTCATCTTGCACTGTGATCACCAGGCCTGTCACTCCCCCTCTTCCTTTCCACGCATCTCGTTTCATCTCACTCCACTCTCTTGCTCTCTATTCCCCACTTCCCTTGCCCCCCTTTCGAACACCACCCCCCCCCGCCCCCCAACCCCACAACGCCTCCCCCACCCCACAACGTCTCCCCCACCACACAACGTCTCCCCTCACCCCGCCCCCCTCTCAGTGCACCCATCTGTGGACTTGCAAATTCTAGCGCCGCCGGACGATGTGGGGAATTGTGGAGTGCACGACCTCAAGGCAATATACTGCCCAGTGTATCAACCCCTTCCCCCTCCTGTTCTCCCCCACCCCTCCCCAGTTCGTGGACTGCTCGCAGATACTGGCAGCGCCGGGGCCGCACGAGCAGAAGGCGGTGCGCTTTGCTCTGAGTGCGCTCATGGAGGTGCCGCTGCAGTTCAAGGCGTGCAGCGAGATGGGCGCGCTGGGGTGAGTGAAAGTGTTTTCGGGTGAGTGGAAAGTGCGCTGGGGTTAGGATAGATGGTATTGGAGTGAGTGGGGAACGTGTGGAAGGGTGGCCGCTTCCACATTCCGCCAATCACCCTTGCGTCTCTCCTTCCACATTCCCATTCTCTTCTCGCATGCACCATCGCATGCATCTCTCCTCTTCATCCTCCCCCCCCCCTTCTCCCCCATGTGTCGTGTGCAGCAAGCGTATCGGCCGCATGCCACCCACCCCGCCGCTGCCTCCCCCACCACGAGTGCTTGAGATGGATGCTGCTGCGGCTGCGGGCATGGGCATGGGATACCAGCAACAGCAACAGCCACCGCCGTATGGCCAGCAGCAACCGCCCCCCTACTACCAGCAGCAGCAGCAGCAGCAGCCGTACCCCGGTGCCCCCCCTTCCAGCTATCCCACCGCCCCCTCCGCCCCTCCTGCACCGGACTAGTTCCCTTCGCAAGAGGGGGGGTATACGTCTCCTCAAGGCGGGTATGGGCAGCAGGGTGGTTACCCCCCTCAGCAGGGAGGGTATTCTTCTCAACAGGGTGGTTACCCCTCACAGCCGAATCAACAGGGTGGTTACCCTCCACAACAGGGCGGTTATTCTTCTCAACCTGGAGGTTACCCCCCACAGCAGGGTAATAACCCTCCACAGCAGGGTGGGTATTCTTCCCAACCCAGCGGTTACCCTCCCCAGCACGGCGGGTCTCCAACTCAGCAGGGTGGCTACTCGTCGCAGCCAGGAGGGTACCCTCCTCCCCCACAGCAAGGCTACAAGCCGCCCTACTGACCGCCTCACACGTGTCCAATCATGGCTCTCTCCCATCCCATTCCTCCCATGCCTTGCATGAATTGCATAGCTCCCCCACACTTGGACTCCAAGGTGCCTTACCGACTGCCACTTGGGCGGAAGATGTGTGGCGCATCGCATGCCGTGCATGCATAGCTTCCGTCGTTGTACACACATGCTTTGCCGTTTGCTGCCATCATTGCCATGCCATGCCAGCAGAGCTTGCCGTACCAATACACTGGCTGTGTTGGCCAGCAGAATAAATGTCAGTAAATTTGTTGGATGCATGACGTACACATACCGTAGTGCTTTGTGAAGATGTGGTACTGGCAATGGCAACTGTAAATTCGTTTATTGCAAGTGCAGTCAGTTGGCAACTGCACACCCCATCCTGCACAACAGGCAAGCAGTTAGGGTAGCTTTGGCCCACTGTAACGCACTGGTTACCAGCTGGGTGTAAAAGCCTTCATGCCATGCCTTGCATGGTCTTTGAGTTGAGTCGCCTCACACCCAGCTGTGTGTCAGCAACAACCGTGATGCCACCCGTGCACACTCCAAGCTTCATGCACTGATTTACCCGCACCCACTCGTGCATGCTGGTACAGGCGCCTCCTAAGACATGAAAGGCACAAACGGTAGCCCATGAGACTCCAGGCATCAAAGCATCAGCCCCCTGACGGTGGTTACATGCATGACAGTTACCACTCCCCCTCCACGTCCCCCACTCCCGCCTTGCGCCCATCCCCCTTTCGCCCACTTGATCACCTCCTCCCCTTGCCCCGTCCCCTGCGCCCACAGCTGCCTGCTATAGCGCGCGACCCACAGCTGCCTGCTGTAGCACGCGACCCACAGCTGCCTGCTATAGCACGCGACCCACAGCTGCCTGCTATAGCGCGCGACCCAAAGCCCCAAAAGCCCCAAGAGCCTCACAGCCTCACAGCCTCAAGCCATCAGCCCTCCTGGCAGTGCTTGTGGTACATGGCAGCCAGCAGCTTCACCAGCGGCTCCTCCACGTCTCCAACTGCCCCCTTGCCATGTCCTCGCCCCTCTCCCCTCCCCTCCTCCTCCCCGCAACTATCAATCCCGCTGGCAGTGCTTGTGGTGCATGGCTGCTAGCAGCTTCACCAGTGGCTCCTCCACATCTCCAACTGCCCCCTTCCCCTCAACCCCCCCCTCGCCCCGCTCTATCACCTCCTCCCCCTCTTCCGTCACCAGCACCACCTTGCTGCCACGTGTCAGCAGCTCATTGGCCACCACCGCATGCACGTGGTTCTTCTGCAGCGCTGAGCGCGCCTTGCTGAGCAGAATGCTGCTGTCCGTCTCCAGCTGGGGAAGGGCAGAAAGGGGAGGGGTTGGGGGAGAGGAAGTGGGGTTCTTTACGGTGCAATATGGTGCTGCTCATCCCCAACTGGGGAATCGGGGAGGAGGGATGGGGACAAGGGTTTGTGAAGATGACATCACATCTCCCTTGCCTCTCCCCTATCCTCTCAACGATGTGACACACCGAATCCATTCCCCTGGTCCACCCTTGCATCGCATATTGGTTTCCCCTTCAGGCTGAGAAAACCATAAGCATCGCATGACACTTTGGTGCAATGGAGTGCAGCGAGAGCAAGGAAGAGGCAGGGAAATGGAGTGCGATGGTTGAGCAAGGAAGAGGCAGGGAAATGGAGTCCGATGGTTGAGCAAGGAAGAGGCAGGGAAATGGAGTGCGATGGTTGAGCAAGGAAGAGGCAGGGAAATGGAGTGCGATGGTTGAGCAAGGAAGAGGCAGGGAAATGGAGTGCGATGGTTGAGCAAGGAAGAGGCAGGGAAATGGAAGGAGAGCGTGGCGAGGCGGGATGGGTGGAGAGGCGGACCTTGAAGGTTGTGAGGGTGTGAGGTTGTGAGGGTGTGAGGGTGTAAAATGGTGAGGGTGTGCGGGTGTGAGGTTGTGAGGGTGTGAGGGTGGGAGGGTGGGAGGGTGGGAGGCGGACCTTGAAGGAGACGAGGAGGGCGGAGGGGCACCAGAGGGAGCGCAGGAGGGGAATCATCTTGGGCACTCGCGCCAGGTGGATGTCCAGTGGGCCCGCGCCCGACTGGATCTTGTGCTCCACCTGGCGTGAGGAAGTGGGGGATGGGGGCATGGTGGCAAGGAGTGGGCAGAGTTGGGTGCAGGTTGGGTGCGAGCAGCATGTGAGGGGAATCATCTTGGGCACGCGCGCCAGGTGGATGTCCAGCGGCCCCGCACCCGACTGAATCTTGTGCTCCACCTGGTGAGGGGGGGGGAACTGGGGGGAGATGGGGGACGAATGGTGGGGAGTGGGCATTGAGGTGGGGATTGGAAGAGAGGCATGCGGGTTGCAGCTTGGGTGCGCGCGGCATGTGGCGGTGTGGAGTGGGTTGAAGCAGGAATGAGCATGGTCAGTGGTCAGTGGTCAGTGGTCAGTGGTCAGTGGTCAGTGGTCAGTGGTCAGTGGTCAGTGGTCAGTGGTCAGTGGTCAGTGGTCAGTGGTCAGTGGTCAGTGGTCAGTGGTCAGTGGTCAGTGGTCAGTGGTCAGTGGTCAGTGGTCAGTGGTCAGTGGTCAGTGGTCAGTGGTCAGTGGTCAGTGGTCAGTGGTCAGTGGTCAGTGGTCAGTGGTCAGTGGTCAGTGGTCAGTGGTCAGTGGTCAGTGGTCAGTGGTCAGTGGTCAGTGGTCAGTGGTCAGTGGTCAGTGGTCAGTGGTCAGTGGTCAGTGGTCAGTGGTCAGTGGTCAGTGGTCAGTGGTCAGTGGTCAGTGGTCAGTGGTCAGTGGTCAGTGGTCAGTGGTCAGTGGTCAGTGGTCAGTGGTCAGTGGTCAGTGGTCAGTGGTCAGTGGTCAGTGGTCAGTGGTCAGTGGTCAGTGGTCAGTGGTCAGTGGTCAGTGGTCAGTGGTCAGTGGTCAGTGGTCAGTGGTCAGTGGTCAGTGGTCAGTGGTCAGTGGTCAGCGGGCCCGGCCCATGGCCCAGCCCATGGCCCACTGCATTGTGTGCTCCACCTGCCAGGGACGGGTAGCATAGCGGGGATTGGGCAGGGTGGCGGCAGTGCGCAAGACATATGGCATGCCGTAGCGAGCACATGGAGTCCGGAGGGCCTGCCTGGAGAATCCCCCTACAGGAGTGGGAAAGGGATAAACGGCCCATGGAGGGACGGATGGGTGATAGTTGCATGGCGTGCGGACGTGGCCACACTAGGAAGGCATGGCATGGCACAGCGTAGCCGGGAACGGCACGGCGCGGCAGGGAAGGGCATGGCATGGCATGAATTGGCATAACATGACATCAATGGTTCAGCACTTGGGGGTTAGGTTCAGGGTGTTCCATGGATGAATTAAGGTAGAGAATTTATGGACAGAGGGGGTTAGGGTAAGGTTGTACCATGGAGGGCCAGGGCACAAAGAAGTCAGACACTGCTGCTGCCAGGTAGACCATGCCACGTGGACCAATGGGGTTCAAGGCTTCTGCCACGAGGCGAAGCAACTGGGGAGGGGAGGAACGAGAAGGAAGAGGAAAGAAAGGGAGGCGAGAAGGAAGAGGACAGAAAGGGAGGCGAGAAGGAAGAGGACAGAAAGGGAGGCGAGAAGGAAGAGGACAGAAAGGGAGGCGAGAAGGAAGAGGACAGAAAGGGAGGCGAGAAGGAAGAGGACAGAAAGGGAGGCGAGAAGGAAGAGGACAGAAAGGGAGGCGAGAAGGAAGAGGACAGAAAGGGAGGCGAGAAGGAAGAGGACAGAAAGGGAGGCGAGAAGGAAGAGGACAGAAAGGGAGGCGAGAAGGAAGAGGACAGAAAGGGAGGCGAGAAGGAAGAGGACAGAAAGGGAGGCGAGAAGGAAGAGGACAGAAAGGGAGGCGATAAGTCGGGAGGTGAAAGGCCAAGTGCTGGCAGTTGGGAGGATGGGATGGCATGGGAGGATGGGATGGCATGGGAGCGACTCGAGACCGACAACAGCCCGACTTGAAGGGGTTGAGCTGCTTGTAGGAAACAGACAAGAGGACATATCTTAAGAATGGATGGAATCTAAATGCCTGTCACAGTCCTGGTAGTCATTTTCACACAGCACAGCAGCAGCCACAGAAATGATGAACCACGTTGACAATCGAATATACTGACGTGCAACGGGGAGGGTCAAATGTCGTAAGAGAGTATCTTGAAGAGCTTCCAGGCCGCACTTACACGAGCCGCACGAGCATGAATCATAGGAGCCCCGACCTGAAAACTGCAGTACATCCTCTCATGTTTTTGCCTGTTTGAGCCTCTTGTAAATCACAAGCGGCTCTGGAGGCGATCACTATCTGCACGAGCGCTCTCGTGATGGATGCTATATCGGTGGACGCTACGGAGGGCGGCACCTGCAGGTACTGGAAGAGCGGCTCACCTGCAGGTACTGGAAGAGCGGCTCACCTGCAGGTACTGGAAGAGCGGCTCACCTGCAGGTACTGGAAGAGCGGCTCACCTGCAGGTACTGGAAGAGCGGCTCACCTGCAGGTACTGGAAGAGCGGCTCACCTGCAGGTACTGGAAGAGCGTGGTGAACGGCAGCAGCAGTAGCCGCCCTCCCTCCTGAGCCTGCACGGAGTAGAGCGGTGGTGTGCGTTGCACAGTCATGGAAAGCGGTGAACAAGGAAACGAGCGGACGGCATTTGTTGAACCAGGAAACGACACAGCAAAGCCAAGGGCCATGCGGGGAATGCCAGGGGTGCAAGCGGTGTGCACAAGCCATGGGTCAGGTGGGTGCTGGAGCACCTGAGTGAGAAAAAACACTCTCGGTTGGCCTAGCGTACCGCGCAAAACACTCTCGGTTGGCCTAGCGTACCGTGCAAAACACTCTCGGTTGGCCTAGCGTACTGCGCAAAACACTCTCGGTTGGCCTAGCGTACCATGCAAAACACTCTCGGTTGGCCTAGCGTACCGCGCAAAACACTCTCGGTTGGCCTAGCGTACCGCGCAAAACACTCTCGGTTGGCCTAGCGTACCGCGCAAAACACTCTCGGTTGGCCTAGCGTACCGCGCAAAACACTAGAGTAGATACGCTTCACGCTGCATGCTTGCTAGGGTTTACGCAATATTCTAGAGAAGTAAAAGCTGGGCTGCACAGGCAAACCAATGGAGTCTTCCGGGCGACATTTCACGTTTTAGAGATTCGCTGCGAAATGTCGCCAACTCTAGATAATGACTGCTTCACCACAAACTTTTTCTCCCACCCTTGTACTACCCCCATCCCCATTGAATTCCACTCTCTCTCCCTATCCAACCCCTCCACTGTCGTCAGCACTCTATGCCCTGAAGGGGCCTGCTTGTAGCTTCTCCTGTATTCTCGCTGCCGCAACTCAGCCCTAACTCACGATCGCACTGGGCCATTTCACGATCTCCCTAGAATGCCTAGCTCCTTACCTGCCCTCTTTCCCCTTTCCCTTCTCCCTCCCCTCAACCCCGCCAAGTATTTTCAGGCCCTTTCCAGGGTTGTTTTTACCTGACCGGCCATGCATGTTCCTAACTAGTGTATGCCCTATCACCCCCAAGCGTAAAGCACAACTTCCTGAGCGTTTATATGCTAATTTAGCATCAATACGCTTATGTAAAACGCACTTAGTGTAAATCTCACTAGAGAGCGCACCTGATTGAACATGAGAACGGCTCGATGCACAGCATCTGTATAGGGCGGAATGGCTGGCAGGGGCAGTGAGGGGGGAGGAGGGCGACAAGGGATGTGGTGGTGGGACATGGGGTGGGAGACAGGGAATGAGGGAGGGGGGGATTAGGAGGCGAAAGAATGATTTGCATGGCACGAGGAAGCGAGTGGATAAAATTAGTAAAGAGTTGCTGTCGAAAGTGGTTCCAAACTGTCAGCTATGACACAGCACTGCATCCTACAGCACCGCACCCCATCGCCTGCCAGTCAGGAGCACACACGCACCTTTAAGGTACATTTGCCCCGAACCGCTGCCACTGCTCTGTGCCGCACTGGCACTCCCCTCCCCACTGCCTCCCTGTTCTCCGCTCACTCCCTCCTCCCCACGCCCACTGCCCTGGCCTTGCCACTCCTGCTGCACGCACTGGGCAGCACTACCCTCGCCCTCACCCCGGGGGGTGTCAGCAGAGGGCGTGGCTCGCAGGCACGTGAGGAGAGGAGACTCGGGCAGGCCGCGGCAGAAGGGACGCATGGAGCCCCTGGCGTGGAGGAGTAGAGAAGAGGAAGACGATTAAAAAGGAGGAGGAGAAGGACCTAGTATGGAGGCGGGACTCTGGGAGGCCGCGGCAGAAAAGACGCATGGAGGCCAGCCCAGTGCGGTGGGAATGGGACGGGTGATATTGGAGGTGTGGTAGTGAGAGGAGGAGGAGGAGGAGGAGGAGGAGGAGGAGGAGGAGGAGGAGGAGGAGGAGGAGGAGGAGGAGGAGGAGGAGGAGGAGGAGGAGGAGGAGGAAGGAAAAGGAGGGGAAGGACGACGTGAGGAGAGTGAAACATGAGCAGTGAGAAGCAAGGAGAGAGAGTCGATTTTTCGTGCGGCGAGACACACGCAACACGCTGTGGTCGTGGCAGTGACGTGGCGGTGGTAGTGACGTGGCGGTGGTAGTGACGTGGCGGTGGTAGTGACGTGGCAGTGGTAGTGACGTGGCGGTGGTAGTGACGCGACACACTTCCTGAGAGCACCACAACACATACCTACGAGTGCTATTTACACCTCAGGAATGCGCTCCTTATGTGCATTGCCAAACAGCACAAATGAATGGGTGCTGGTAGCGACTGACTGCAGGCGCGCCGAGTGAAGCGCGTGGCAGAAAGAGAGAGCGAGTGAAGCGCGTGGCAGAAAGAGAGAGCGAGTGAAGCGCGTGGCAGAAAGAGAGAGAGCGAGTGAAGCGCGTGGCAGAAAGAGAGAGCGAGTAAAGCGCGTGGCAGAAAGAGAGAGCGAGCCCATGCAGAGTGGCCGTTGCAGAGAGTGCAGTGCAGAGCATGGTCGTGGTTGCAGTGAGTGCAGTGCAGAGCATGGTCGTGGTTGCAGTGAGTGCAGTGCAGAGCATGGTCGTGGTTGCAGTGAGTGCAGTGCAGAGCATGGTCGTGGTTGCAGTGAGTGCAGTGCAGAGCATGGTCGTGGTTGCAGTGAGTGCAGTGCAGAGCATGGTCGTGGTTGCAGAGAGTGCAGTGCAGAGCATGGTCGTGGTTGCAGAGAGTGCAGTGCAGAGCATGGTCGTGGTTGCAGAGAGTGCAGTGCAGAGCATGGTCGTGGTTGCAGAGAGTGCAGTGCAGAGCATGGTCGTGGTTGCAGAGAGTGCAGTGCAGAGCATGGTCGTGGTTGCAGAGAGTGCAGTGCAGAGCATGGTCGTGGTTGCAGAGAGTGCAGTGCAGAGCATGGTCGTGGTTGCAGTGAGTGCAGTGCAGAGCATGGTCGTGGTTGCAGTGAGTGCAGTGCAGAGCATGGTCGTGGTTGCAGAGAGTGCAGTGCAGAGCATGGTCGTGGTTGCAGTGAGTGCAGTGCAGAGCATGGTCGTGGTTGCAGAGAGTGCAGTGCAGAGCATGGTCGTGGTTGCAGAGAGTGCAGTGCAGAGCATGGTCGTGGTTGCAGAGAGTGCAGTGCAGAGCATGGTCGTGGTTGCAGAGAGTGCAGTGCAGAGCATGGTCGTGGTTGCAGAGAGTGCAGTGCAGAGCATGGTCGTGGTTGCAGAGAGTGCAGTGCAGAGCATGGTCGTGGTTGCAGAGAGTGCAGTGCAGAGCATGGTCGTGGTTGCAGTGAGTGCAGTGCAGAGCATGGTCGTGGTTGCAGTGAGTGCAGTGCAGAGCATGGTCGTGGTTGCAGAGAGTGCAGTGCAGAGCATGGTCGTGGTTGCAGTGAGTGCAGTGCAGAGCATGGTCGTGGTTGCAGTGAGTGCAGTGCAGAGCATGGTCGTGGTTGCAGTGAGTGCAGTGCAGAGCATGGTCGTGGTTGCAGTGAGTGCAGTGCAGAGCATGGTCGTGGTTGCAGAGAGTGCAGTGCAGAGCATGGTCGTGGTTGCAGAGAGTGCAGTGCAGAGCATGGTCGTGGTTGCAGAGAGTGCAGTGCAGAGCATGGTCGTGGTTGCAGAGAGTGCAGTGCAGAGCATGGTCGTGGTTGCAGAGAGTGCAGTGCAGAGCATGGTCGTGGTTGCAGAGCGTGCAGTGCAGAGCATGGTCGTGGTTGCAGAGAGTGCAGTGCAGAGCATGGTCGTGGTTGCAGAGAGTGCAGTGCAGAGCATGGTCGTGGTTGCAGAGAGTGCAGTGCAGAGCATGGTCGTGGTTGCAGAGAGTGCAGTGCAGAGCATGGTCGTGGTTGCAGTGAGTGCAGTGCAGAGCATGGTCGTGGTTGCAGTGAGTGCAGTGCAGAGCATGGTCGTGGTTGCAGTGAGTGCAGTGCAGAGCATGGTCGTGGTTGCAGTGAGTGCAGTGCAGAGCATGGTCGTGGTTGCAGAGAGTGCAGTGCAGAGCATGGTCGTGGTTGCAGTGAGTGCAGTGCAGAGCATGGTCGTGGTTGCAGTGAGTGCAGTGCAGAGCATGGTCGTGGTTGCAGAGAGTGCAGTGCAGAGCATGGTCGTGGTTGCAGTGAGTGCAGTGCAGAGCATGGTCGTGGTTGCAGTGGCGACACACACACACACGCACGCACGCATGCACGCACACACCCACACCCACGCAAACACACGCACACACACACGCACAGACATACACACACACGCGCGCGCGCACACACACACGCACACACCAAGACAGCACAGGAGTGGGCAGCATACCGCCTGTGCAGGAAGATCACGGAGTAACCCTGGGCGAGGAAGTGCCTGCACGCAGGGGGGAACGGTCGCCACGTATGCATGCACACGGATGTGGAGTGGTTGGGAGCGGTGGAGAGGATAAGGGGGAAATGCGTGAGTGTGGTAGGTGATGTGGAATGGAAGGGCTGAGTAGCGTAAACGCACGGAGAGGGGCAAACAATTTTTCCGAAAGGCAAGAGACGGAGATGAAAATGCACGTGCGAGACGAGATCTGCTTTTGAGGCGCCTCAAGAGACGGAGATGAATATGCACGTGCGAGAGGAGATCTGGCAGTGTCTCGAGCACGGAAACTGCCGTTGCACCCGGCACAGGGCGGCAGGACGCAGCGCAGCAAAGGGAGGAGCTGATGATGGGGAGGGGCTCGTTCACCCCATCCCAAACTCTCACTCTCAGGAGGCGGCCCCGCGGTTGCCGGCGCTGAAGTTGTCAATGAAGCGCACACAGCGCCGCTCCAGAGGTACTGTCGTGCCGCCCGATGTCACACACGTTACCAGTGGGGCGCCCCCAGGCTGCTGCGATGCTTGCTGCAAGGAAGGTGAGGGGAGGGAAGGAAAGAAGAGAGGAGGGGGGGTGTGAAGCTGTCAATGAAGTGCACACAGCGGCGCTCCAACGGCACTGTTGTGCCGCCTGACGTCACACACACGACTAGGGATGCACCACCACGCTGCTGCGACGCTTGCTGCAAAGGAGGGGGGGGGGGGGGGGGGGGGGGGGGGCGCGGAGGAAAAGAAGGGGTGGGGACGGGAAGCGGGAAGAATGAAGTTGTGGATGAAGCACACACATCGGCGCGCCAGGGGCACTGTCGTGCCGCCCGACGTCACACATGCCACCCGGGAGGCACCCCCCAGGCTGCTGTGATGCTCGCTGTAGAGGGGAGGCGGGTGGGGCGGGGGGGTTAGGGGGAGAGGCGAGAAAGAGCAGAAACGAGGGGGAAGGGAGGGTGAATGGGTGCAGCAGCACCGGGGTCCGCCTATGCCGTGCATGACACGGCAGCAGCATCGGGGTCCCGCCTATACCATGCATGACACGGCAGCAGCACCGGGGTCCCGCCTATGCCATGCATGACACGGCAGCAGCACTGAACGAGCGGTGAGGGAGGAGGGATGGGCAGCAGGGACGAGCGTGGAGGCACTGAAACGTGGGCGTGCAGAGCGGGGAAGACGGGAGAAAGAGCGAGCGGGGCAGGCGACTTTTGGGGCGCCTCAAAAGGGAGGGAGGGACAGAAAAGGGAGGATGGGGGCTGTGGAGTGTGGAGGGGCGCGGGTGCATGGAGACTGGGGCCAGTGAGTGGTGCTCGGTCATGCTGGGGCCAGTGAGTGGTGCTCGGTCATGCTGGGGCCAGTGAGTGGTGCTCGGTCATGCTGGGGCCAGTGAGTGGTGCTCGGTCATGCTGGGGCCAGTGAGTGGTGCTCGGTCATGCTGGGGCCAGTGAGTGGTGCTCGGTCATGCTGGGGGCGAAGAGAAGCACGATGGGAGCGGTAACAGGAGTGGGGGCCTCGCCATTCATCATCAGGGGCAGCATGATGGCCGCATGGACATGGCAGGCCGCATGGACATGGCAGGCCGCATGGGGAAGGCCGCTCATAATGTTTGTGATGCTGATGATGACGTGGCGTACGATGAAGGCCGAAAGCTGCTCCTTGATGACGTCAGCTTCTGCGAGAGGTGGTGACGTGGCGAAAAACTCCTCCCATGACACGTCAGACTCGTCCATGTTGCCGCTATAACGAGGCGGTCGGCTTCCGAGGCGCCAAGAACGCAAACGCGGACGCGAATGTGATGGCTGGTGGCGTGGATGGATGGTGACGTGGATGGATGGTGACGTGGATGGGTGGTAACGTGGATGGGTGGTGACGTGGATGGTGACGTGGATGGGTGGTAGGATAACTCTGCGACCGACCCCGACGGCCTATGTGCGACGCGAGAGCCACTGTGAGGTGAGAGCCGCTGCGCGCGGGAAAAAAGTACGTCGGAGCTGCAGCGGGGGAGGCTAGAGCGCGCTACGCGGTGTCAGTGCGCGCGTGGCAGGCGCGATGGCGCGACGGAAGGACGAGACGTGCGGGACCGTGGAGTGCCGCGGCGCGGAAGCGCGGTGAGTGGAAGGATAGTGTGAGCACGCGGGAAGCACGCGGAGCGAGAGGAGCATGTGCCGTTAGGGGCATAGAAACCCCTTCGCTGAATGCGTCGGCGAAGCGCGTTCAGTTTCGGAATGTCATTGGGTGCTGTAAATCCGTTCAGGCTTCGAGATAATGGTTTCGGTCTGGGTGAGCCAAGGATTCATGTTATGTTCTTCGTAAATAAGGGTGCGTCAGATCCGTTGTCGGAAAAATCCGGCCGGCCGGCATTAGCGAAGGTAACACATTCGCGACATCCGCAGAGATCTTCGTACAGATCGTCAAATCCGGCCATTTGTAAAAAAAATTATGGCCGGTTCAGCATTCGACAAAGTTCCGACCTGCAGTCGACTCGAAAGTTGACCAATTTGTCGACCAATTTATCGCTACAGTCACTACGTGACGTCGCCAGCTCGTGCGACGCAACGTGTCACACAAGTACTGCATCTGCGACTCCGTCGCACAATCCGGCGACCCTGGCGATCTGCAAATCTGGCACATTTGCAAAGCGGCCATAAAGTCGGCCACCAAATGTGTCAGATTGTTTGGCCCTGTAAATGTGGCCGGATATTGGTCGCTATTGAAGTCGACCATGTTGTCGACTTTGGCGAAAGATATAGTCGACCAAATTGTTGACCAAATTCCGGCCAAATCACATTGTAACGGATCTGACGCGCCCTAAATCCTGGTGAGATTCGAGCCAAGCTGGCCCGTCCAAACAGCTCACCAGAGGAGTTGTTGTTGTAGGATGCGAAATTGGCGAGTTCCTGGCTGTGGCGAACTCGTGCGAAATGTAACCCCTGATCACAGTAGGGTTGACTGAACTTCGACTCTTGCTTCGCAAGGAGGAACTTGCCAAGGCTACTTGTTACATTCATGTCTTAACTTCTACCCCGCGCGTTCCCCGCTCTCCGCCCTTCCACAGCCCACCTCCACGCGCCTCTCTCGCTCGATTGCACCAACGCCATCGCCTTTCCCGCTTGTAGCATGCGACGGTTGAGCGACGCGCGGAGGGTCGCACGATAAGGATGGGAGAACGACAGAATCGCGGCATAAGCTCGGAGTAAAGATGCGTGAACTGGAATGAGGCTCACACCCCTGGCGTGAAGAGTTCGGGGAGAGGCAAGGGGCGTGCAAAGGGTGGAGGGCAAGAGAGGATTGCGGAGGGACGGGCGGAAGGGAGGAGCGCGGGGAGGGACGGGGAGAGGGGGGAAGAGGGAGGTGAGAGGGGAGGGGGAGGGGTGAAGGAAATGTTTGTGAAAGAATGTGAGAAAGGCCTACACATATGATTGATCAGCACATTCAGTCGTGCTCACACGCTCGTTAGGATAGTGTCTCGCGTTCCCACAAAGGCCCGAAGCAGCACGGGGGGGTGGAGGAGGCGAGGGGCGGGTTGGGCGGCATGGAGGAGGGGATGGTGCAGCTGCAGCAGCGGCTGAGGTCTGCGGAAGCCAAGGCGGAAGAGGTGCTTCTGGTGAAGCAGGAGGTGAGCGGTGCAGTGCGGTGGTGGTGATGTGGGAAAGGTATTCAGTGTAGGCTAGAGAAGCTGCTAGAAGATGTCTGGATCACATCGCCACTCTCTCTCTCTCTTGCTTTGATGCTCACGATGGGGTTGTGCTGTGGCACCTGTATCCTCCCCCCCCCCCCTCCCTACCCCCCACTCTGCCTCCCCTCCGCTTACATCAATCCGCATACCACCACGTGGCACACACAAAGCATCATATTGTATTGCACGCCATCGCGTCACACCACACAACACACATTCACATCACATCACACCCTTCCTCACGCCACCACACTCATTCCTCCCACCTCCCTTTCACCTCTCCATCCACTGTGCCACCCGTTTCTCCCCCCATCTGTTGCCGTTGCCCATCCTTTTCCCCATCCGCACTCCCCCCTCCCACCCGCACCTAGTAGTAGTACATCCGAACAGCCTGCGCATGCAGGGAGGGAGACCATTGCTGCTTCCTCTTGCCCCTCTGCTTCCTCGCCACTACCCCTCTCATACACCCCCCCTCCCCACCCGCGCCTGCACGTATCCCCTCATGTGCGTTCGCACTCCCAACGCCAGCGCAGTGCGGTTGGCAACAGATGGAGAGGAAAGGGTGGCACAGTGGTTGGGCGAGGTGAAGCGGGAGGGGAGGTGAGGAGCGCAGTGCAGTGCAGAGCGGACGGAGCAGCTCTCCATCCTCTGAAAGGCAGCAAGAGGAGCGGACAGGAACGCTGCCAGCAAGAGGAGCGGACAGGAACGCTGCCAGCAAGAGGAGCGGACAGGAACGCTGGCAGCAAGAGGAGCGGACAGGAACGCTGGCAGCAAGAGGAGCGGACAGGAACGCTGGCAGCAAGAGGAGCGGACAGGAACGCTGGCAGCAAGAGGAGCGGACAGGAACGCTGGCAGCAAGAGGAGCGGACAGGAACGCTGGCAGCAAGAGGAGCGGACAGGAACGCTGGCAGCAAGAGGAGCGGACAGGAACGCTGGCAGCAAGAGGAGCGGACAGGAACGCTGGCAGCAAGAGGAGCGGACAGGAACGCTGGCAGCAAGAGGAGCGGACAGGAACGCTGGCAGCAAGAGGAGCGGACAGGAACGCTGGCAGCAAGAGGAGCGGGCAGGAACGCTGGCAGCAAGAGGAGCGGGCAGGAACGCTGGCAGCAAGAGGAGCGGACAGGAACGCTGGCAGCAAGAGGAGCGGGCAGGAACGCTGCCAGCAAGAGGAGCGGACAGGAACGCTGGCAGCAAGAGGAGCGGGCAGGAACGCTGGCAGCAAGAGGAGCAGACAGGAACGCTGGCAGCAAGAGGAGCGGACAGGAACGCTGGCAGCAAGAGGAGCGGACAGGAACGCTGGCAGCAAGAGGAGCGGACAGGAACGCTGGCAGCAAGAGGAGCGGGCAGGAACGCTGGCAGCAAGAGGAGCGGACAGGAACGCTGGCAGCAAGAGGAGCGGACAGGAACGCTGGCAGCAAGAGGAGCGGACAGGAACGCTGCCAGCAAGAGGAGCGGACAGGAACGCTGGCAGCAAGAGGAGCGGGCAGGAACGCTGGCAGCAAGAGGAGCGGACAGGAACGCTGGCAGCAAGAGGAGCGGACAGGAACGCTGGCAGCAAGAGGAGCGGACAGGAACGCTGGCAGCAAGAGGAGCGGACAGGAACGCTGGCAGCAAGAGGAGCGGGCAGGAACGCTGCCAGCAAGAGGAGCGGGCAGGAACGCTGGCAGCAAGAGGAGCGGGCAGGAACGCTGGCAGCAAGAGGAGCGGACAGGAACGCTGGCAGCAAGAGGAGCGGACAGGAACGCTGGCAGCAAGAGGAGCGGGCAGGAACGCTGGCAGCAAGAGGAGCGGGCAGGAACGCTGGCAGCAAGAGGAGCGGACAGGAACGCTGGCAGCAAGAGGAGCGGACAGGAACGCTGGCAGCAAGAGGAGCGGACAGGAACGCTGCCACAGCTCTGCACAATTCCCTTTCGCACCTCCTGCCCTTCACTTATCCTATCCCCTCTCTTTCCCCTGCCCCTCCCCTCCCCACTCCCCATCCCCTCCCATCCAACCCCAGCTAGTGGACTTGGATTGCAAGCGCAATGCAGGCAGGGAGGAATAACAGTGCACAGCCCCTTTCCAGATTTGTTAACCTTATCCCCTCTCCCCCTCCCCTCCGCATTCCCACGCATCCACCCTCAGCTTTTGGACCTGGATCGTCAGCGCAATGCGGGCAGGGAGGCTGTTACAGCTCTGCACAACCCGGCTTGCCCTCCCTGCCCCTCAAGTATCTTATCCCCTCTCTCCTTCCCATCCCCCTCCCCACCCATCCAACCCCAGCTAGTGGATCTGGACCGGCAGCGCAATGCGGGCAGGGAGGCCATCACGGCGCTCAAGAAGCATGCCAGAGGGGCGGCTGCCAGGAGAGCAGGGGGGCGCAGAGAGGGGGGCTCTGGAGGAGGTTCTGCTGGGGGAGGTGCTGCTGGGGGAGGGGTTGCTGGGGGAGGGGCTGCTGGGGGAGGTGTATCTGCAGCGGCGCACAGGCCACTTGTAACCCCCCTTCCTGCGGTGCCAGTTGGCACGTCGGGATTGGATGGGAGTTTGGAGTGTGCGGTGTGCGGGATGGTGGGGCAGAAGGAGCGAGTGTGGGTGGCGATGGGCGGCGGGGAGATGTTTGTGCGCTTGCCACTGCACCATGCCCACGTTCATGTGAAGCGAGGTGAGCGAAGTGAAGGCATGTGCTTTGAAGCACTAGTCGCCTGCGAGTCACCCTAGTAGTTGCTCCATCCTTCCTTCCAGGCGACCCACCGAGCCTGATTCTATCCTGCCTTTCCAGCTGTTGACCTCGGTGGACCTATTTGTCTCCCTCATCCTCACTGCCTCGTCCTTCCAGCCATTGATAGCTCATTGCCCTCACTGCCTTAGACCTAACTGTCTTGTTCTTTCAGCCATTGACCACATTGATCCTCTTTGTCCCATACTCCCCATCAGCCATTGACCCCATTGGCCCTCATTTCCCCCATCCCCCATCAGGCATTGCCATTGACCGCATTGACCCCCTTTTCCCTCTCTCTGTGTCCCCCACTGTCCCGTCCTTCCAGCTGTTGACCGCATGGACGAGCAGATGGAGGAGGGGAGGGAGAAGCAGAAGGCGGCAGTGAGGCAGCTCACAGAGGAGGGCGGGCTGGCAGGCCGGGTTGGCGAGGGCATAGTGCATGCCTTGACCACGTTGAAGGATGCTGGTAAATAGGGCATGGGTTGGGGTGTTGTTGTAGCTTCCCTTGTCAGCTGTGCTGCTGCTTGCCTTCTGTCCAAGCAATTTGGCACTGGCCTCGGCCAGCAGAAATAGTTTTTTTTCCAGCAGCAGCAAGGGTTAAATTTCCATGTTTCATTACTCTGATTTTCAGAGTGTTAAACACAAATTAAAATGCTGAACTCAGAAGGAAGCGCTTATTTATCAGACACCTGATACGTATTTTGAGACTAGTTGATGAGATGCCGTTTCTTCTAAATGTACCGCTTTATTACAGTGTTATCTCTCCATACTCATGGACTCGGTTGGTCGCACCTGGTCTTGTTCTTGACTAAGGATTGCGCTGTGCAGCACCCTTACAGACTGAACTGCCATTCCATTCGATGCTATGCCTGGTCAATGTCTCACTCACACCGACCATTGATTGGGCCTTGGCGCTTCGCAATCCGAATATCCCCTTCTCGCGCTTGTCTTCAAGCAACGCGATTAGCTCTGCAAGATGAATTCTGATTCGTCAATGAGATTTCGAAACTCAAAATGACGTGGCAAGGCAGCATACAGCACCGACCGGAATTGTTGATTGGTCGGAGACGGCTACACTTGACGAGCCAGACCAGACCAGACCCTTCCAAAAGGTTTCCTCGAAGATTCCATGAAATTATTTCGTAAGAGCCCCAGTACTATGCAACTATGTGCGGTAATCCTGGGATGGATGATAGAGGGAACTGCGTGGGAGTTTGCCAGTCAGGGGGACTTTATGGCGAGGAAATTGCTGGTAAGAGAGGGAAAAGACGGAAGGGATCGGGGAGGGGAGTAACATGTCCATTTTTTTCCTAATCAGAATTGTGTCAATCTGTCGAAACGGGTTTTGGAGAATGAAGAGCACTTGCCCTTTCCCCCGCGCCGCGCGGGCCCATTCTTGCAATCACAGGCAGAAGCATATGCGATGCGATGTGAGGTCTTTGCTTGCAAGACCAGCAACATAGGACCGGAGGTGAGGGAACTTAGGGCGCCACCGCCATGAAACACACATGGGTGCGCGGTTCGGGAGCGCGGCGTTGGCGATTCCCGCCGTCACGGTTCGCAATTGACTGCAACGAACCGAATCCAACCCACCCATTCCAGGCACAACAGCGAACGCCAAGAAATGGTCGCTTGCATGAATCACTATACATAAACAGGAACATGTGAGTCACGGTGTCTCACTCTCTCTCCACAGCCTCACTCTGCCGCAGCCTCCATCACTCCGTGGCTAGCTTGCACTTGTTAGCCCTCTGCAGTCGCCTCGAGTCAGCGGTTGACGGAGTCGAAGCGTGCGCAGAGGAAGAAGCGCGCCTTACTCAAGCCGGCGATAACCACTCCAACGCGTTACCATGATGAACTTCTTTGGCGGCGGCTCGTCAGAGGAACAGTCGAACGCGAACGCTGAGGGAGGCGATTCGTACGGCGCGGAGAAGCTCTCTCTGAATGAGGAGACCGCTTACGGGTCCTCGGGTCAGACATCCGAGGGGTATGTGACGGAGAGTGTGGTTAAGAAAACTGGCTATGGGGGGGAGGAGTCTGAGGGGTATGGCGCCAAGGAGAGTGGGGGGTATTCGGGTGATAACAATGAGGGGAACAATGCGGAGGGAGGGAGCGGGTATAACGCGGAGAGCGGCAGCGGGTATAATGCGGAGCAGGGCAGCGGGTATAACGCGGAGAGCGGCAGTGGGTATAACGCCGGGGGGGGCAGCGGGGATAACGAGGAGCGTGGAAGCGGGTATAACGCGGACGGGGGCAGCGGGTATAACGCGGACGGGGGCAGCGGGTATAACGCGGACGGGGGCAGCGGGTATAACGCGGAGCGGGGCAGCGGGTATAACGCGGAGCGGGGCAGCGGGGATAACGCGGAAGGAGGCAGCGGGTATAACGCCGAGAGCGGTAGCGGGTATAATGCGGAGCGGGGCAGTGAGGACAACACGGAGGGGGGAAGCGGGTATAACGCGGAAGGGGGAAGCGGGTATAACGCCGGGGGGGATAGCGGGGATAACACGGAGCGTGGAAGCGGGTATAATGCGGAGGGGGGCAGCGGGTACAACGCTGACGGGGGCAGCGGATATAACTCGGAGCGAAGCAGCGGGGATAACACGGAGGGGGTTAGCGGATATAACGCGGACGGGGGCAGCGGGTATAACGCGGACGGGGGCAGCGGGTATAACGCGGAGCGAAGCAGCGGGTATAACGCGGACGGGGGCAGCGGGTACAATGCAGATGGGGGCAGCGGGTATAACGCGGACGGGGGAAGCGGGTATAACGCGGACAGGGGCAGCGGGTATAACGCGGAGGGAGGGGACGGTGGGGGAGGGTACTAAGAGGACTTTCTTTACGCTGGAGCCGCTTTACGCTCTACGCTGGAGTCTTTCTCCCAGCGGCTCTGGCGGGGAGTCGGGCGAGGCGGCTTCGGTTGAGCCAGCGGATGAGAAAGTCGAAGACGCGGGCGCGGAAGCGAGTGGCGGGAGTGGTGTTAGTGCGAACGGGAAGGTAGAGGAGAAGCTACGAGCTTCTTTATTTTCTTTCTTTCTTGCTGCTTTGTTTGCATTGCTGTTGCATGTTGCTTTGTTTGGGGAAGAGACGTGGAAGCTTATAATATTTTAATTCCACAATTGTTCACACATTAACCAAGAAAGGGGTATTATTAGCGGGTCTTCACAACCCCTACCACGTTTAGGGGCACATCTCTCATGGTGCACTGCCTGTGTACCATGCATTCAATGCGACAGTCACTGCCAGCGAAGATGCATAGCTGTAATAATAACATGAAAATAGCTGATGGATTAGAAATGCCATTTGACAGGATTACAACCGTGCTCACAGAAAGCAGTGCACTAGTCCCCAACCCTAGATCCCCGTTGAAGGGGTTGCTTCCATGGAGATTACTGTAGGCGAGAGGCTACCAACATAGCCAGAGCATGCACCAACCTACAAAATGCTGCCAGTAACACCTTCAGCAACCATTACCAACAGCCACACCCACATCAACACCAGCACCCACAGCACCACCAGTTGCAGACACAAGGTATGCGTGACTGCCCTTTCGAGAAGCTTTGTTTCTGATACCATAGCTCGTAATCATCCCTAACTGTGGGTCTTGGCGCCCAAGCCATGTTTACGGTATACTAGAACCCATGCACAACACTGCACCCTGCTGCACCTGTCTGCACCCTGTTGCGCGCCTTTCCCCTCATCATTGCGCCACGCTCGCAGCCACAGCCTCAGCAGCAGCAGGAGCAGCAGTGAGGTCCGCATCTCTGAGGAGGCTGATCCTCTCCTCCAGCCCCACGCAGTACGCCTTGGGGCCCAGCGCCTTGTCCGCTGCTGCGTGCTGCAGCATGGTGAGCGTCTCCCCCACGTCTGGCCCGTGCATGCAGCCTGTGAGGAGCACACGGATGGGCATGAAGAGGCGCTTGCCCTGCCAAGGAGCAGGGATGGGGAAGGGGGGAAGGGAGGTAGAAAGGAGGGACGGATAAGCAGAGTGTGAGGGGCATGGTGAGCGTCTCCCCCACGTCTGGCCCGTGCATGCAGCCCGTGAGGAGAATGCGTAGGGGCATGAAGAGGCGCTTGCCCTGCCAGGGGGAGATTATGGGGTGGGTGTGATGGGGAGGAGGGGAGAGGCATGGTGAGTGTTTCCCCCACGTCCGGGCCGTGCATGCGGCCTGTGAGCAGCACGCGGATGGGCATGAAGAGGCGCTTGCCCTGCCGGGGAGTGGGGAAGGGGGAAGAGGGGAGGAAGAAAGGGAGGAGGGTGAAGCAGGGTGTGAGGGGCATTGTGAGCGTCTCGCCCGCGTCATGCCCGTGCATGCGGCCTGTGAGCAGCACGCGGATGGGCATGAAGAGGCGCTTGCCCTGCCGGGGAATGAATACGGAGGGGGAAGGGGGGAGGTGGGAGGAAGGAACAGAGGGGGAGAAGCGGGGTGCGAGGGGCATGTTGGACGCCTCACCCACATGACGAGGAGTGGGATGCGGTGGGGGTGGTGGGCACAACTGAAATGACATTGCATACAAAAGCAGAGTCTTGGCTTGGCACTGCCATATCCAGCTTCCCCCCCCCCACTCACTCCACCCATCCTGCCTTTCCTCTGCCATCCCCACTGCTGTCGTTTTGCGCACAACGTGATCCACTTCTTCCAAACGGCAGCACCTATATTCCCTTCTCACCCCCTCTCCCCCTCCTCACCCTGCCCCACTTCCCTTCTCACAACTCACACTCTCCCTTCCTCCCCCTCCTCACCTTGCGGCCAGTGGCCTTGCCGAACCCCTTGATCCACTTCTTCCACGTCGCAGCGCCGCCATCCACCGCTGCCAGCAGTGCTCCGCTCTCCCACTCCGCCAGCAGCGCCGCCCTCACGTCGTCCAGCCCGTCCTCCACCACTGCCTTGGCCTCCTCGCTGGAAGCGGAAGGGTAAGTAGGAAAAAGAGCAAGGCAGAAGGGGAAGGAGCGAGGGCATTAAACGTTAGCAGCGCTGCCCTCACTTCCTCCAGCCCGTCCTCAACCACTGCCTTGGCCTCCTCGCTGGTGGTTGTGAGGGCACAGGGGTGAATGCAAAGGGGAAGGGAAATGGAAAGGAGAGATGAAGCAGCAGCGCCCCGCTCTCCCACTCCGCCAGCAACGCTGCCCTCACTTCGTACTGCCCATCCTCCACCACTGCTTTGGCTTCCTCACTGGTGGGGAGAAAGAGAAGCATGGGGAAAAAGAGGGAGGGAAATAGAGATAAAGAAAGGCAAGGGAGATGAAGAGGGAAGAAGCGAGGGACAACTCATTGGCACTAGTGGCAGGCTGCCATTTCCCCCTTGCCGCTGCCGCCCTGCCACTACCACCCTGCCACTACCACCCTGCCAATACCACCCTGCCACTACCACCCTGCCAATACCACCCTGCCACTACCACCCTGCCAATACCACCCTGCCAATACCACCCTGCCACTACCACCCTGCCAATACCACCCTGCCACTACCACCCTGCCACTACCACCCTGCCAATACCACCCTGCCACTACCACCCTGCCATTACCACCCTGCCACTACCACCCTGCCACTACCACCCTGCCACTACCACCCTGCCAATACCACCCTGCCAATACCACCCTGCCACTACCACCCTGCCACTACCACCCTGCCACTACCACCCTGCCAATACCACCCTGCCAATACCACCCTGCCACTACCACCCTGCCAGCATCCCCCTCCCACTACACCCCTGCCAGTGCCCACCCCGTGCCAGCAGCACCTCCCGTGCCCTATTGGAACTCCATACTGACATCCGCACACGAGGATGCACGAGGGAAAAACCAGGAGATCGCTGCTCGCTGCTCACTTTGAGAGCGTGGCGTTGAGCGGGTATGCCAGCAGCGCCTCCCGTGCCCCATCGGCACTCCATCCATACTGACATTACATCGGCACACCCCCAAAAGCAGGATGCACGAGGGCATAATGACGCTCGCTGCTCACCTGGCGAGTGTCTCCTTGAGCGGGTATGCCAGCAGTGGCCTCCAGTGCCGCATATCCGCATCTGATTCTGTGATTCAATACCGGCTGTGAACACTGGGCAACAGCTGATTGCTGGCGACTACTAGCGACCACTGGCACTCAGGTCAGGCGAGTGCTGCTCGCATCTCACCTGGCGAGTGCTGCTCGCATCTCACCTGGCGAGTGCTGCTCGCATCTCACCTGGCGAGTGCTGCTCGCATCTCACCTGGCGAGCGTCTCCTTGAGAGGGAATGCCAGCAGCGCCTCCAGTGCTGCGTCCGCATCTGTGACCAGCTCCAGCCCGTTGCGCACCAATGATGCTGCTGCCTGCTTGGCAGGCACGGCAATGTGCAGGCGGGCAATGTGCAGGCAGGGCAATGTGCAGGCACGGCAATGTGCAGGCGGGCAATGTGCAGGCAGGGCAATGTGCAGGCAGGGCAATGTGCAGGCGGGCAATGTGCAGGCAGGGCAATGTGCAGGCGGGCAATGTGCAGGCAGGGCAATGTGCAGGCAGGGCAATGTGCAGGCAGGGCAATGTGCAGGCAGGGCAATGTGCAGGCAGGGCAATGTGCAGGCAGGGCAATGTGCAGGCAGGGCAATGTGCAGGCAGGGCAATGTGCAGGCAGGGCAATGTGCAGGCGGGCAATGTGCAGGCAGGGCAATGTGCAGGCAGGGCAATGTGCAGGCAGGGCAATGTGCAGGCAGGGCAATGTGCAGGCAGGGCAATGTGCAGGCAGGGCAATGTGCAGGCAGGGCAATGTGGAGGCGAGCAATGTGGAGGCGAGCAATGTGGAGGCGAGCAATGGGAAAGGAAAACGATTCGATAAACAATCGGCATCTGTGACGAGCTCCATGGTTCAGTGGTTAAAGCACCGTGCGGATGCTCACGCCCTCACTTCCACCGCCCCATCACCCCATCGCCCCATCCCCCCTCCTCCCACCTGCCCCTCCTTTCGTCCCCCACACTCCCCCCACCCCCCACCTGCGTGGTGCGGCTGGTAGCGTCTGCTGACGCCAGGAGGCCGCTGGCGTGCCACTGCTCGGCGAGCAGCTGCGTGGAAGCTTCCTCGGACAGCTGGCGGAAGTGCTGGCCGTTGATCCAGCGCAGCTTGGCGTTATCGAAGATGGCGGCCGACTTGGTGACGCGCGAGAGAGAGAACTTCTCCACTGGTGAGGGGCAATGCAGTGGCACGGTGAAAGGGTGTGGCAGGGACAGGAGCGACATGGGGTAAGCCATTGATCCACCACAGCTGGCGGCGGACTTGGTGACGCGGGAGAGAGAGAACTTCTCCACTGCAGTGGGAGGAGAGGGGGTGGGAGAGGGTGCGCAATGGGGTGGAAGAAAGGGGGAACAACAGGGACAAGCCGTTGATCCAGCGCAGCGCAGCTTGGCGTTATTGAATATGGCCGCGCTCTTGGTCACCCGTGCCGTGGCGCTCTTGGTTACCCGTGCCGTGACAGGGACACCTTCTCCCCTGCAGTTGGGAGCATGACAGGGAAGGTGGTGGGCAGGAGAAGGAGCGACAGGGGGGGACGGTGTTTATCCACCGCAGCTTGGCGTTGTCAAAGATGGCCGCCGACTTGGTCACCCGCGACATGGAAAACTCCTTCACTGCAAGAGAAAGGGAGTGTGACAGAAGAAAATGCAGTGGCAGGAGGGGGATGGGGGCTGTGACAGGGATAAGCTGTTGATCCACCACAGCTTGGCGTTGTCAAAGATGACGACCCTCTGGCTGGGTGACCCGGGAGAAAAAGAACAGCACTGGGGTGAGAGACAAGAGAGGCGGTGTTGGGGGTGGCAGGAAGAGTGCGAGGACAGGGCAGGTGAGGGGCCCTCGATGCAGGAGTAGTAGACGGCGAGAAGGACACGCTCTATGGTGACCTGTGAGAGGGACACGCTCTATGGTGACCTGTGAGAGGGACACGCTCTATGGTGACCTGTGAGAGGGACACGCTCTATGGTGACCTGTGAGAGGGACACGCTCTATGGTGACCTGTGAGAAGGACACGCTCTATGGTGACCTGTGAGAAGGACAACGTTTGACTGCACTGAAAGAGGAGCGCTCTGTTGGGCGGATTACCTGATACCAGCATAAGCGCTGCACCTGACACCACCTAACAAGGCACCGAGCTGCACCTGACACCACCTAACAAGGCACCGAGCTGCACCTGACACCACCTAACAAGGCACCGAGCTGCACCTGACACCACCTAACAAGCCACCGAGCTGCACCTGACACCACCTAACAAGGCACCGAGCTGCACCTGACACCACCTAACAAGGCACCGAGCTGCACCTGACACCACCTAACAAGGCACCGAGCTGCACCTGACACCACCTAACAAGGCACCGAGCTGCACCTGACACCACCTAACAAGGCACCGAGCTGCACCTGACACCACCTAACAAGGCACCGAGCTGCACCTGACACCACCTAACAAGCCACCGAGCTGCACCTGACACCACCTAACAAGCCACCGAGCTGCCTTTTGAGTGCAACAAGTCAAAACGCACCGAGCTGCGAGGGTGTGAAGATCTCGTCCTCCGTGCCGTCGTTCCACCCCAGCAGCAACACCACCACCTAATGACGCACCTGTTGCCACCACCACTTCACCTGTTGCCACCACGTAGCAACGCACCGAGCTGCGAGGGCGTGAAGATCTCGTCCTCCGTGCCGTCGTTCCACCCCAGCAGCGCCAGGTAGTTCACCATCGCCTCTGGTAGGAACCCCAGCTCCTTGAACTGCAGGGAGGGAAGGGTGAGGTGCGGGGTGGTTAGGGAGGAGATGGGTGGACAGGGGCAGGCGTGAGAGCAAGGACAAGCGTTCCACCCCAGCAGCGCCTCGGGCAGGAAGCCCAGGTCCTTAAACTGCAGGGGAAGTAGGGGAGGCAGCAGAGGGGTGCCGTGCACAAGGGGCAAGGCTTGAGCAGCAAACGAGAAAGGTCAGATGAGCAGCGCAAGGTAGTTCAGCACGGCCTCAGTTAGGAAGCCCAGGTGCTTGAACTGTAGGGGACAGAGAGTAAGCGAAGTATGGGCATGTGAGGAAGGCAGGCGTGCCAGGTGGATCACCACACGGCCTCGGGCAGTCAGACTTGGCTCCTTGTGACGGTGAGGGCTGCTGTGGGCTTACTCCCTGTGAGGGCAGTCTAGGTTGGAATCCAATCCAACCCACGTGGTTCAAGGCAGGGGCGCTTAGAGGTGTCTGCCAGTGAGTTTGAGAGCTTGAAGAGGCCAGGGAGCAGGGTACGAACGAACCATGTAATCCAAGGCACGCAAGTCCACTTTCCACCTGCTATCCGTCTCTCGTCCTCCTCCCACTCCCCATCCCCCCACCCGAGCACCTGTGCCGCGAAGGAGGTGCCTTGGCACTTGGAGAGCTTGGAGCAGACGGGAAAGGGGATGAGAGATACGTGCCCGAACGCGGTCAAGGGTACTAATAACGGGGCGGGATGAGTGACACATGGTTGAACAGGGTTGAGGGCACGCCATGCCACCTAATAACCATCTCCCCCTCCCTCCCCCCCATCCTACCTGACCCACGGAGGTGGCGCCATGGCGCTTGGAGAGCTTGGAACAGACAGGGGCGAGGATGAGTGACACATGGCCGAGGGGGGTTGAGGGCACGCCATGCCACCTACTAACCACGTCCCTCCCCCCTTCCCCTTCCCCCCCTTCAATCTCTCTGCTTCCTCTGCGTCCCCTCCCTTCTTCTCCTTACACCCCTCATCCGCCCCCTTTCGCACCTGCCCCACGGAGGTGGCGCCGTGGCGCTTGGAGAGCTTGGAGCGGTCAGGGGCGAGGATGAGCGACACGTGTCCAAACGTGGGCATGGGCAGACCCAGCGCCTGGTGGGTGAGGTGGAAGAGAGATTTGATTGACACGATGGGGAAACGATGGGGATTGAAAGCTACTTGTGCTTGGAGAGCATGGAAGGAGGGTTCCCGGGCATGGGGCGAGTGGGCATGGGGCGAGTGGGCATGGGGCGAGTGGGCATGGGGCGAGTGGGCAAGCATGCATGCACGGGCATGGGGTGAGTGGGCAAGCATGCATGCACGGGCATCGGCTCTGGGGGTCCTATCCCATGGTAGAAGCACGGCGAGCAGTGCGAGCAGTGCGAGCAGGGCAAGCAGGGCAAGCAGGGCAAGCAGGGCAAGCAGGGCAAGCAGGGCAAGCAGGGCAAGCAGGGCGAGCAGGGCAAGCAGGGCGAGCAGGGCAAGCAGGGCAAGCAGGGCAAGCAGGGCAAGCAGGGCAAGCAGGGCAAGCAGGGCAAGCAGGGCAAGCAGGGCAAGCAGGGCAAGCAGGGCAAGCAGTGCAAGCAGGGCAAGCAGGGCAAGCAGGGCAAGCAGGGCAAGCAGGGCGAGCAGGGCAAGCAGGGCGAGCAGGGCAAGCAGTGCAAGCAGGGCAAGCAGGGCAAGCAGGGCAAGCAGGGCAAGCAGGGCAAGCAGGGCAAGCAGGGCAAGCAGGGCAAGCAGGGCAAGCTGACCTGACAGTGCAGGCACGTACCTCGTAGATGAGCGCCTGACGCAAAGTGTTGGGCAGATGCTCCTCCGCTCTGATTGGTGGGAGGGAAGGGAAGCGAGCAAGGGAGGAGCGAGGAAGCTGAATGTGCATGCGCGGGCACGGGTGTGTGTGTGTCTGTGTTCGTGCGCGTGGGTGTGTCTGTGGTGTGTGTGGGTGCCATGTGTGTGTGCACGGGTGGGGGAGATGGGAGGGGGGAAAAGGGGAGGCATGGTGACCTGGCAGCACGCTGACGTGTCAGCACATTGACTTGACTCACCTGATGACGTGGGAGATCTTCATGGTGGCGTCATCCACAGTGACACAGAAGTTGTACACCGGCTGCCCGTTGCTCCGCAGCACCACAAAGTCACCCAGCGTATCCGTGTTCCACGCCACCTGGCATCAAGAACAAGTCAACGCAAGGCAACACAAGTCAACGCCAGTCAACAGAGGCTACAAGTTGTACACTGGCTGCCCGTTGCTCCGCAACACCACGAAATCGCCCAAGGTATCCGTGTTCCACACCACCTGGCAGGGAGAACAAATCAACAGAGTAAACAGTGGTCAACGTAAGTCAACAGAGCTTTGCTCCTCAGCACCACACAAGTCAACAGAGTCCACCGTGGTCAACAACAGTCAAACTTGATCAGCGCGGCGATGCTCCTCAGCACCACAAAGTCCGCCGCACATCTGCTCCTTGCCACCTGGCAGATGGGGGGGTCAAAGGAAGTCAAACTCAACAACAGTGGTCAACAACAGTGGTCAATGGAGGTCAATGAAGGTCAACACAAGCTGTATATACGATCTGCATGGTTCACAACCGTGTTTGTCTCACCTCCCCTGGGACATGATCTTGATGACTTTAATGGGCGGCACTCGGAACCGGACAGAGTGAGGCGTGCCTTCTGCCCGCTCATGCCTGCTCCATCACAAGTTCTCATCCCTTTCATCTCATCACATTCACGCATCACCTCCCCACCGTTGTCTCCTCTCACCTCCCCGCGGACGAGGTCGTTTATCTTAATGAGCTTGTTGGGCGGCACTCGGAACCGGAACGAGTGCGGCGTGCCCTTTGCCAGCTCAGCAGCCACCTCGTCCTCGCTGGCGCGCGCCCACTTGCCCGCGTACTTGGGAGGAAGCTTCTTCGCCTCCTGCTCCGCCTTCATTGCTGCTAGCTCCTGCATGCACGGGGAGAAGAAAAGAACCTTTTGAGTTGAAAAACGGCATCGTCCCCTTTTTGTTCTATAAGAAACACCTATGCTCCGCCTTCCTGCCTCTCCTCATGTGCCACCTATTCGAAACCCGCACCTTCTCTTCCCCCTTTCAGAGCAGAAGCAGCGGGCAGCGGAACACCATGCCGGACGCCAGCAGCTTCTCTGTCAGCTCGTGGTGAATACCCATGCATGCAGCACTCCTGTTCCTTCCCAGCCCACCTCTAAAGAACCCCACCACCTCATTTCACCGCACACGAGGTTCCCATCACATCACCTCTCAGCACCGTTCCTCACCTCATCAGTGCAGAAGCAGCGGTACACCATGCCTGACGACAACAGCTTCTCTCTCACCTCGCTTGCTGCAGCCCTCCTTCCTCCCCACCTCATCCCATCAAAACCCCCACCATCTCTCAGCACCGCTGCTCACCTCATCGGAGCAGAAGCAGCGGTACACCATGCCCGAGGCCAGCAGCTTCTCCGTGAGCTCGCGGTAGATCTCATTGCGCTCCGACTGGCGGTATGGGCCCAGGGGACCGCCCACATCGGGACCTGGTGCCATGGCAATGACAAGGAGAGGGCGCGGGGGGCAGGGGGCAGGGAGTGAGGGGCAGGGGGCAGGGGGCAGGGGGCAGGGGGCAGGGGGCAGGGGGCAGGGGGCAGGGGGCAGGGGGCAGGGGGCAGGGGGCAGGGGAGAAGAGGGAGGAAGTAAGGCAGCTTGCGGTTGATCACGCTAGGCTGTGACTGCTGGTACGGGCTCAGGGGACCGCAACCGCCACGCCCAGACCTGGGGGGAAGAGGGAGGGAAACGCAGAAGAGCAGCGAACCTATTCAGGTCAAGTCCCTTAGACCCTCGCAACAACTCCGCCAGCCTCATGCCCTAACTCCATGCCAGTGATTCTTTGCATTACACGGCGCCCTCCCACTCCGCGCCAGTGATGCCGTGCATTACAGCGACGCCCCCTCACGCCTCACCATCCATCCAGCGAAGCCAGCCAGCACCCTCTCTCCCGTCCCACTCCACCATTTTCTCTCACTTCGTCCCATCCCGATCCCCCCTTCCTCTATCTGTTCACCCTCGCCCCGTCACCACCACCCAACCCCCCACCTCTCCCCCCTTCTCCCGCCCCCCCCCGCTCACCCTCATCCCAGTCGAGCCCCAGCCAGCGCAGGTCGCGCACCATGGCGGCCTCGGACTCCGGTGTGGAGCGGTTCAGATCGGTGTCCTCCACGCGCAGCACGAACTTGCCGCCCGTTGCCCTGGGGGGGGGAACCAAGTGAGCGTAGCGACGGGGGTGAATTCGGGAAAATCGGGGATCTTGAGGAGAGGAAATGGGGAATGGGGTTAAAGTGAGGAGAACGAGGGACAGCGAAGAGGAATAATGGGGGAGGGGGGAGGAAGAGGGGAGTGGGCGAGGGGAGGCGGAAGGGGGAGGAGAGGGAGGGGGGGGGGGGGTGGGGGTGGGGGAGGAGGAGGAAACAGAATGGGAAGAAAGGAAGGGGAATGACATGTGGCGGTCGCCGGCCGGTCGTCAGCCCTCGACCGCAGTCCATCAACCCCAGCAAGGACAGCCAAAACCCTGCAATCACGCGCACTCAGTCTTCCGCTGGCCTCTTCCGACAAGGTTCTACAAAACTCGACAAAGTAGAGATTACTCCCACTCGGTCGCCGTGTATCGACACTACCAGCATGATCTGCGTGTGCATTATAGGCGCCCTGCGTTTCAGCCGTCCGAAAACCTCACGATGGCTGATGCGAGCCGTCTGAAACAGCCATGTTGAGTAAATTCACGACAACCGCTTCTCTACGATTCTATCACTACTGGAGAGTGATAGAGTCCCTTTTTTGTGCTCTTTTGTACACACTCATAGTGTAGTTTCCCTCGTTCTGTCGCATACAGTCGCACGCGCACCTCGCGAAGAGCCAGTTGAAGAGCGCCGTTCGAGCCCCGCCCACGTGCAGGTTCCCCGTCGGCGACGGCGCGAATCGCACGCGCGGCTTCCCGTCGCTCCCTGCCGTCGCGGCATCGCAGCGAGCGCCACGACGGCTGGCGACGTGCCTCTGTGCGACGTGCGACGATTTGGCTTCACCCGATAGGCTCACTTGGCTCAGACTGAGCCCCGAAAATAAGGCCTTGGGAAAAGAATGGCTGCTCTGCGCGAATCGCTGCGCTGCCCTTCCACCGAGCGACATCGCGACGGAGTACGGCGCTCTCGCCGCCGCGTGCGATACGGTCGCCATGGCTACCGCGTCTCGGGTACGAAAGCGATTCGAGAATCGCGCTAAGCGGAACGGTAATCGTGCGCGCGAGGAATTCCACGCACAAGCTGCTACGAAGGTCGCGACGAGACGAGACGAGAGCAAGTGAAGCTCGTCGGACCAGTGCAGCTGGTAATGAGAAATGCACGGGTATGGGGGAAATGGCTGTTGCAGGGAAAACTGGAACTTGTAGGTTGGGAGCACCTCGAGAATTCCAGCTTGCTCGAGCTGCGGAGAATCCCAAAGAAATGCCGTTGGGGCGTCTCATAAAAGTTTACCGCGGTGAAGTGCGATTTCGGGAGTAAGAAAGCGGCACAATTGTACTTCTAGACGTTTGGGTAGGGTTCGAGCAATCATGAATGCGTTTGACGCTGCCTTGTCAGTCGAAAAGGATGGCGAGGCGAAATCGTGAGGCTGACGGGGCGTGGCGAAGCGTGAAAAGAGAGAGCGCCACGTGGAGTTCCAACATCGCGAGCTGATAGAGCGTTGCGTGAAAAGAGGATGTGACTCAACCCGGTTAGTGGCAAGCTCTGCAGAGCTGTAATACGCTGGAATATATTTGCTGCTAATCCCTAAAACATAATTCAATCAAAAGAATTCTTAAGGCACATAACTTCCACGCTAGAAGACATTGCCAACGGATTATAGATAAAGCTTCTTGGAATAACCAGCCCATCCATATGATCCCACGTTTATTCACTCAATCTTCTCAACGCTGCTTAAATATCGACCAATCTCAACAGCATTCCCATACCCTCCCTCGACACACCAACTCAGCGCAACACCCGTCAAATAATTCCCTCCAAGAAACACCCCCTCCATCCCTGCCTCTTCGATCCCTCTCTTCGCCACCTCTATACTTTCAAGGTGCCCAATATTCAGCTGGGGAACGGCACACGGCCACACTCGCACTCCGAGCGCCAGAGGGGGAGGGGCGGAGGGACGGAGGAGTGTGGTGCGCATGTCCCGATCCACTGCTGCTATGAGGTCTGTGTGGGTCTGTCATGGAGAGAGGCAGGGGCATGGAGAGGGCGGGGGAACAGAGAGTGCCGAGGGGGAAAGCGGGCAGATAGGCGGATAGGGCGGGGAGGATGAGAAGTCGCCTGGCATGTGGATTAAGTCTGGGAAGGAAGCTGGTGTGGCACCCAGCTCGGGTGGGTGCTGTGCACGTGGAGTTGACAGGTAGGGAGGCAGCTAGGCGATTGACCACCACGCAGCTTACCCCAGGCCACACAAGCCACACAAGCCACAAGCCACTTGGCACACCCAGGGCACTCAGGCCACTCACATTCTTCCACTCACCATTTCAGCAACAGCATCGTTCCCCGCGCCGCCCACGTAGCAGATGAGCAGCACTCTCACATGGGCCAAGTGCTACACCTCACATGGGCCAAGTGCTACACCTCACATGGGCCAAGTGCTACACCTCACATGGGCCAAGTGCTACACCTCACATGGGCCAAGTGCTACACCTCACATGGGCCAAGTGCTACACCTCACATGGGCCACTGTGCCCACTCACCATTTCAGCGACAGCATCGTTCCCTGCACCGCCCACGTAGCAGATGAGCAGCACGCGGCCGTCAGGTGCTCTGTTGGGGAAGAGGGCAGAACTGTAGATGCAGCCTGGGTGGGGAATAGGGGAAGGGGGGAAGAGGGGGGGGCAAGAACCCCACGTAGCAGATGAGCAGCACTCGGCCGTCAGGTGCCCTGTTGGGGAAGAGGGCAGAACTGAAGATGCAGCCTGGGTGGGGAAGAGGGGAGAGGAGGGGCAGTGATGGAGGGAAGCAGGTGAGTGCGATGCGTGCGCGGTGCTTAGAGGTGCATCACTAAGCCTCTGGGAGCGCGGGTGCAGCTGCCCATACCCCCCAGCCCCGCTTTCATCCCCGTTCCCTCTCACCCACTCGCTCCCACTCTCTCCCACCACTTCCCCTAATACACTCTCTCCATCCCCCAACCTTCTCCACCTCTCTCCCACCTCTCCCCTTGAGAGCGTGGGTGCAGCTGCCCATACCCCCGCACAACCTCCCTGCCCGCACCCTCCCCACATCCTTCGATAAGTGCCAGACGTCTCTTATACATGTGTGACTTTGCCTACTTTGGAGAGGACCACTGAGACATCTCAGAGGCCTATTTGTAGGCCTCACAATAGGATTAGCCTGCATGTCTTTCCATACACTAGGTCTCTGGATTTGTCTTGTATCCATTGTACATTTACTATAGTGTCAATAAAGAGGTAGAATAGCACCCGGCCATGAGCTCGGTGCAGACCCGGGTTCGATTCCTGGCTGGCACATCCTCTTTCGTTTCACTTTTTGAGCACTTTCCCTGATTTCGCATCGTGCGTTCGCAGCCTCGCCTTGACGCTTGGCAGCGTGAAGCTGTATTTGTTGGAAATAACTCCCCAGCTTTGTACACTCCCACCTCCCCCCATCTCACCTAGTGTCGTCAGTCCCTGGGAGCGCAGATGCAGCTGCCCATACCCTCACAGCCCCTCTGCCCTCCCAGCCCACACCCACCCACTGGTTTCCACTCTCTCCCACCCCTTCCCATCACACTCTCAATCAATCCCCCAACGTTCCCACCCCTACCCCCACCTCTCCCCATCTCACCTAGCGTCGCCAGCCCCTGGGAGCGCGGGTGCAGCTGTCCATACCCCTTCAGCCCCCTTGCCCTCCCCGCCCCACCCATCCCTCTCACTCCACTTCCACCCGTCTCACCTAATGTAGCCAGCCCCTGGGAGCGCGGGTGCAGCTGCCCATACCCGCGCAGCCCCCCTGCTTGCCCCGCCCCCTCCCTGATGGCAGCGGCGGGGTAAGAGAGGGCAACAGATGCCATGGGCGGGTAGGGTATGGCTGCCAGCGCTGCTGCTGCTGAGGGCTGGGAGAGGGAAGAGGGAATGGGGGAGCGAGAAAGAGAGGACAAGGGGAGTTTTAGATTCGACTCATAAATTCCCCTTGCCTCCCCGCCCCCTCCCTGACAGCAGCAGCAGGGTAGGAAAGAGCCACGGATGCCATGGGGGTATGGCTGCCAGGGCTGCTGCTGCTGTGGAGAAGAGTGGAAGAGAAGGAAAAGGAGAGAGGGAGAGGTGTGAATCATGAATCGATTCAAAAGGCCCTTTTTTCCGGCCCGTGCTTGACTGATGGCAGCAGGTGGGTAGGAGAGAGGCACAGATGCCATGGGCAGGTAGGGTATGGCGGAGCGGACAGCGCTGCTGCTGCTGTGGGCTGGAGGCGGGGGGAAGGGTGTAAGAGGGGAAGAGGGAAGAAGGAGAGAGGTGAATTATGAATAGACTCACAAGCCCCCCTGCCCACCCCGCCCCCTCCCTCCCTGACGGAAGCAGCAGGGAAGGAAAGAGCCACAGATGCCATGGGGGTATGGTTGCCAGCGCTGCTGCTGTTGTGAGCTCGGAGGGGAGGGGGGACAGAGGGACAGACGTGAGGAAAAGGGTTGGGGGAGGGGAGAGGGTGGGTCTGTGTGGGGGAGGGGGGAGGGGGAGAGGGCGGGGTGAGGGTGGAATGGAGGGAAGGAGTTTCCCGAGAGGAGAGAGGCAAGGTGGGGCGCATGAGAGGAAAGGGCGTCACCCCTCTTTAAAGAGAGGCGTCATGCCTCTCAAAGGAGAGTGAGCTACTGATGGCACACCGTAGGACTTTTGACGACTGGAAATGCGGCAGAGTGCGAAAGTAGAAGCGAGGAGGGCGCGAGTGAAGCTGATGGAGTAGTGGATGGGGTTGGAGCAGTGGGGGTGAAGGAAGATGGGGGTGAAAGAAGATGGGGGTGAAGGAAGATGGGGGTGAAAGAAGATGGGGTTGAAAGACGACGGATGATTCAGATAGAAATAGAGGGAGTGAGGAGGGGAGCACTCTATGTAGCCGTTATGTAGCACTCTATATGCCTCCCCACACCCAGAGGAAACATGTTTACTGCTGAGGGGGAGCAGGACGAGCAGCGGTCCTCACAGAGAAAGCCCTGATGACGTCAGCAGCAACGTAAGCAGGCACGGTGAGCAGCACGGAGCGTGCGGCCACTCGTGTGGTGCCACGTGGCGTGTCGTACGTCAGCACAGCCCCCCCTCCTGGTCGCTGCTGCATGCCCACCAGCCGCCACCCCACCCGCATCCTACTGCCCAAGCTGTGGGAGGGAGGGGATGAAGGATGGGGGGAGATGGGGAGGGGTCAGATTGGGAGGGGAGGGGAGAGATGGGGAAGGGAGAGGTGGGGAGGGGAAGATGGGAAAACAGAGCGAATTAAAGAGCGGAGGATGGAGCAAGTGGTGAAGGCTTTCAAGGAAGAACCTGGTACTACCAGTTGCCTTTTGTCCCGAGCTGCTGCTGAGTCGAGATCTATTGCCGTCAGCTTGCAATGCCATACCTGCCATTCCATACCTGCCATTCCATACCTGCCATTCCATACCTGCCATCCCATACCTGCCATCCCACACCTGCCATTCCATACCTGCCATCCCACACCTGCCATTCCATACCTGCCATTCCATACCTGCCATCCCACACCTGCCATTCCATACCTGCCATCCCACACCTGCCATTCCATACCTGCCATTCCATACCTGCCATCCCACACCTGCCATTCCATACCTGCCATCCCACACCTGCCATTCCATTCCTGCAATCCCACACCTGCCATTCCATACCTGCCCTTCCATACCTCCCACCTATTCACACACGCTACCCAAGCCTACCACCATCGCTGCCATATCTGCTACCAGACCTATCAACCAGCCCTGCCAATCACACCTCCCGAACCTACCGGTCAGCCATGGCACGCGTGAGAGAGGCCAGCCCTGAGCGGAATGACCCCACTGACTGGCCCTGAGGCTCGGGGAGACGGCTGCAGGGGGCACGAGGGAGGAAGGGGGGAGGGGAAGTGGGATGGGGAGGGGGATGGAGAGGGGGATGGAGAGGGGGAGGGGGAGGGGGAGGGGGATGGGGAGGGGGATGGAGAGGGGGAAATCATGCCGCCCAGCTAAATCATGCCGCCCAGCTAAATCATGCCGCCCAGCTAAATCACGCCGCCCAGCTAAATCATGCCGGCCAGCAGCGACCCCCCATGCACCATGCTTGTTCACTGGTTCACTGATTGCACTCACGGGTCTCGTGGCTCTGCTGGATTCTCCTTCTCCTTCTCCTTCCTCTCTTTGCCCAGCTGAATCATCCCCCCCAGCAGCGACCCCCCTTCTCCCTCCATGCGCCATATGCGGTTGAACGCTGCCTGCATGCTCATCTGCTCCGCATCCCCCGCGAATATGCCTTCAGGGGGAAAGGGAAGGGGTAATGGGGGGGTGGGATAAAGGGGAGAAGGGAAGAATGGCTGATTCTTTTTGCAAGTATATCACTTGCTTGGTTGTTCCATAGGATGCCTGTATGTGCTGTGAGACGTGGAAGGAAAGGCTGCTCTTGAGACTAAAGAGTTGCAGACGGTCAGGAAAACAAAGCAAGTGCGTAAAAAACTTTGTTTTAATATTTGAGAACGAGCTCGGAAGCAGGTGCATTGGGCACACAGTACGATTTCTGGGATTTAGCAAAAATACTCGCGAGAGTTCTTATCGCTCACAAGAAAAAAACGAAACAAAACAAAACAAAGCAAACAAACAACAACAACAACAATTTTACAAGGAGACGGACTTACGAGAGCAGAAAGATGAAAAGAGCTTTTAAGGTGCTGCAAGAGCAAAAGGGGGGAGTGGATACACAAGGAGTGCATACAGAAGGGGCACACAAAATCCAAAACATTATCTCCTCCTTACAGGAGCAGAAGGGATCGACAAGGCGTTGCAGCAGCTGTGAGCCGAGGTTGCGAGTCACAAACTCCGACACACTCTCCTCCTCGCTGCCACCCCGCTGGTGGCGTGGTATGGGTGGGAGGGTGTGTGGCACAGACGGGTGCATGGCACGCATGGATGCATGGCACGCATGGATGCATGGCACGCATGGGTGCATGGCACACATGGGTGCATGGCACACATGGGTGCATGGCACACATGGGTGCATGGCACACATGGGTGCATGGCATACATGGGTGCATGGCATACATGGGTGCATGGCATACATGGATGCATGGCACACATGGGTGCATGGCATACATGGGTGCATGGCATACATGTGCATGGCGCACATGGGTGCATGGCAGACACCCAAACACGCATGATGCATGCCATGATGCAGGAACATGTGCATCCATCATACCACATGCAGGTGATACAGCAGGGAAAATGGCGTGCGGAAGTGGCACACTTATTATGTCCCAACAGAGAACCCATACCACCTACACTGGTTTGTTTCCAGTGCAAACGACATAGGCAGCCCATCCCAGCGGTACCAAACCCTCCTTGCTCCTCTGACGTAAAGCTTTTCACGAAATCTGACATAACAGCAGATTCCAACCTGGGCTGCTCCGCTTCTCACCTGGGCTGGTCCGGTTCTCACCTGGGCTGCTCTGATCCCCACGAACCCCAGCGCCGCCCGCAGCTTGCCGCCCAGCGACAGCAGATCCGAGGAGATCAGATCGGCGGGGCCTGAGGGAATGGGACGCAGCTTGCCGTCCCAGAAGACATAGCGCGGCGCATCAGGTGCTCCCAACACGAGGTCAGACAGAATGCCGCAGTCGAGCTGAGGTTTTTGAGGGGAAGGGGTTGGGTTGTGGGGAAGGCAATGGGGGCAGGGGGAAAGGGAAGGGAAGCCAAGGGGCGGATGATTGAGACGTTGAGTGCGTCAGGCGCTCCCAGCACAAGGTCGGGGAGAATGCCGCAGTTGAGCTGCGTGGAGAGAGGTGGGGGCGTGGAGACAAGTGCAGGGGGGAGGGGGGGAAGAGAATGCACACTGAGAAACGGACGGCATATGCACACACACTGAGGTTACAGTTTGACTCACGACATAAGCCATAACCCGTTGCTGGTTAATAACCCAGTGGCACACTGCTGTATGGTAACCTGGTAACTTATGCTGCAGCGCAGCGTGGTGGTAACCGGGTAAATCACAGCACACTGCAGCATGGTAACCCAGTAACATAGAAACTCACGGCGCACTGCAGCATGGTATCGCTGGGTTGAAAGCTGTGAGGCCCCTCCTCCCACACGTACCCCTCGCTCTCCGTCCCCTCCGCCCCCACCATTGTAGTCACATTCCCGCCCACGCGCTCCCGCGCCTCCGTTACAAGCACGCGCGGCACGGCGTCCGCATGCCGCGTTGCCAGCGCGAACGCCGCCGACAGCCCCGAAATCCCCGCGCCCACTACCACGCAATCCGCTTCCTCCGCGATCTCCGGTTCAGATTCATCTGCTTTATAAGAAACCTCGCTATTCGCTAAGGCTGCCTGCCGTCGCCATTTGCCTGTTCGCCGTGCGACAGTAACACAGTTACCACCGTTGCCTGGAATCAAGCAGCGCTCTCGGCAGCGGGAGAAAAACGGCGCTTCGTCTGCGCCCGTGTTCCGCCAATCCCCGCGCATTCCGCGCAATCCCCGCAGGGCCGCATACGTGGGACGGGCGGAACGCGCAGAGCGCGGACGGAATGGCTCGCGCCATGCGGAGCAGCGAGGAGGAAACGGGTCAACAGTGACGATGACTGGCGGGGCGCGCGTTGACACGAGCCCTTGCGACGCGAGTGAGAATCTAACGGCCATGATTCGTCGATGCGACAGAATGGGTTAGCGGATTGGCGTGACGGGAAGTGACTGGGATGTTGCGGGGAAGCTAGCGGAATCGCGTGGTGTCGCTGAAGTGTGTCGCAGGAATCGCACAGAGAATTGTCGCACGGAATGGGCAGGCTTGATAATTTAGGCAGCTCGATGACACTCTAGTGCATTCGATACCACTTCGTAAAAGGTGGAACCAGTTAGAGACTAATGAGACTTCCAGTCATGACTGGGCGACTCGAGTTTCAGAGCAACTTGTTTCAGGGGCAATGCCTGTGGTGGATGAAAAGGAAATTGTACGCCTTATGCGAGAGAGATTGCTCCAGAGCATCTAGGGGAAAAGAAATGAGACTTAATATGGCGTTACACACCAGTGAGAGATTAGCAACCCCCGCTTCACTAAATTTACTTTCAGCTTGTGCCAGTATATATGGGAGCCAATAGAGTTGAATATGATACTTGTAGCAGCACTATTACGGAAAATGATCTATTTTTCTATTGATTTTTTCCATATGCCAATCTAGAAGGCTTAAAGTAATATCAGGAAAATTTCCCTGAAATTCCTGATTTTCAGCCTAGTTTTGTGTACCTACACTGATTTTTCAGTGTTTATATTTTTGTGACACTGATTTTTTCAGCCTTAACTTCATAACTAACAATGATGTTTCAGACTTTTATCGAAGTGTACACTGAATGCACATTCCGATTCCATACCGTAAAACACCCGAGAGATTCTGTCAACCAACATTTCCACATTCTCATCACTAAAGAAATTAGACATTGACGGCTGTTGAATTATATTGCATATCCTAACTGCCTACAGCTTGCTAGTGTATTAGTTAGTTATTAGGTTCAACTGCTGGTGGTGTACCCTATCCTCTCCCCTATCCTATATCCTGTAAACATTCCTTAGTGAATCCCCTCTTTGCCCAATTCTCTTGCCATGCTCACTCTCGACACTCACGCTTCCTAGGTAAACCCTAAGTTACTAAGGCAAGAGTTAAGAGCGTGTTCTGACATGATATCAGAGAGTGGTCCCTCCTAGGACCTCGTTTTCATGGGCCCACCAAACCCGCGATCTGCCATGGCGAATTATTGTGCTGCTGGCATGGCTGCTACTGCTAGTAGCGCGAAATCCGCTGCTGGCTCGAACTCCGCTGCTTTTGCAGCACCCGTCGCGCTGCCCCCTTTCGCCTGCCCCGTCGCGCTCTGCCAGTGGCGAGCGTGCCAGCGAGGCGACGGCGGGCGCCAGCGCAAGCGCCAACGGCGGGCACCAGCGCCAGCGCCAACGGCGGGCGCCACCGCCAGCGCCAACGGCGGTCGCAAGCGCCAGCGCGGACGCCAGCGCCGACGGCGGGCGCTAGCGCAAGCGCCAACGGCGGGCGCCAGCGCCAGCGCGACGCCAGCGCCCAGCGCCAGCACTTCCGCCAGCGCCAGCGCATGGGGGGGAGGGGGATGAGGGGGTGGCGGGAAAGCTTCTGCCGCGCCAGCCACCTCCTCTCCTCTCCTCTCCTCTCCTCTCCTCTCCTCCTCCTCTTCTCCTCTCCTCTCCTCTCCTCTCCTCTTCTCCTCCAGCCGCATCTCCTCCTCTCTCCTCTCCTCTCCTTCTGCCGCATCTCCTCCTCCAGTCTCCTCTCCTATAGCCGCATCTCCTCCTCCTCTCTCCTCTCCAGCCGCATCTCCTCTGCTCTCCTCCTGTGCACCACCACCAGCTTCCTCCTCCTCACCAACAGTTGTGTTTGCTCGTAGATGGCGAGCGACCAGCATCCTTCGCCCTCCGGCTATCCCAGCCCTCCTCCGCGCTCTCCGCGCCCTCCTCCGTTCTGGCGTTCACAGGTGCTGCCGCTCAGCCACCGCTGTTTCTGTGCCTATCCCAGCTACAGCAACCACTCTCCAGGCGACCTGGTGCCAGACACCACTAGCTATAGCCGTAGGCAGTTACGGGGGTGTGTTGAATTATATTGCATATCCTAACTGCCTACAGCTTGCTAGTGTATTAGTTAGTTATTAGGTTCAACTGCTGGTGGTGTACCCTATCCTCTCCCCTATCCTATATCTTGTAAACATTCCTTAGTGAATCCCCTCTTTGCCCAATTCTCTTGCCATGCTCACTCTCGACACTCACGCTTCCTAGGTAAACCCTAAGTTACTAAGTCAAGAGTTAAGAGCGTGTTCTGACAACGGCCAGCAGGATGAACTTTCTCAGTGATTGCGGAAATTGATATCGAACAGCAGGGTTGCCGGTTCGAAGTCCTCGACTGTCACGTTTCGTTAAGGCTACTCCTATTGTGTGATGGAAAATTTTTGGCTTAAATTTTTAGGAACCCTGAAGATTCAGGCTTTTTCTTTTAGGAACCCTAAAAATTCAGGCTTTTTTTCACAAGGACCTTGATGCATCAACGTCCCTAAAAGTGAATCTGAGGGCCTGGTATGAACTACTAGGTTCAGGAGAAACCCTAGCCTTGAAGCATAGAGATTTACGATAGGAAACGGAAGAGGGGTTCACTAAGGGAAGTGGAAGTACATTTAGGCATAGGCAATGGCATGCAATAGTTGTAATATTACGCAATAGCTACACTAGCTACATTTATGAAAATATATAAAACTTTCAAGATTTGAGATTAACTAGGATGTCAACTGTAAGGAATTCTCCTTATTTTTTCACGAGGTTGACTGCTATGTGGACAACCCCGACATTTCAGGCTTCACATGTTCGGCCTACAATTCCAATGCCGAGGCTGCGCCGCGTCGCCTTCGCCTTTCCGAACGCCAAACCTGCACCCAACCTCGATTTCCCGAGGTTCTCTCCTAGCTAGGTTAGTCACTATATTAGTGCGTGCCTTCATTGTATTGTCAATTCATTGAGTCAGAGCCTCGTTATGTTGCTGGTCGACCTTTAGCGCATCATGGTCGACCGCGATCCAGCGCAGAAGAGCTCGCACCGCTACAGCGTTGCAGGGTAGCGGTTCGCCAACGTTGCAAGTCAATGGTGTGTCAACGCTGCAGCAAGTTGGCTGCACAGCGTTGCACCCGCAGGATAACAGCGCAGATGCTTCGCAGGTGTGTGCAGCTGGTTGGAGCACCACTACTCATCACGTGCACAGCGCAAACGCCCAGCTCGACTTCACGCCAGCAACTGCGCCCACCAGCCACGTCGACCTTACGATACCACTTCCGAGGTCGGCCTCGCAGAAAACACCTCGGCGACCTTTGCACACGTCGCCCGGGTATCCCGGTCGACCGGGCAACCACACCTGGTCGTCAAGCCCACTCAGTTACCGACTACACAAGCCCAGCGTCCCCGGTCCGCTGTCTAGGCGTCCAGGGCGTCGACCAGACGATCAGGTCGGCGTTCGGACGCCTAGGTCGGCGTTCAGGAGCCCGAGACGCCGACCAGACGCCGAGGTCGGCGTCCAGCCTTCCAGGACACCGTCCAGGCGTCCAAGACGTCGTCTAGGCGCTCAGGATGCCGTCTAGGCGCTCAGGATGACGCCCAGACGCCCAGGACGGCGTCCTCCTGCTCGGCGCCCTCCAATCAGGCGCCCTCCGGCTCGGCGCCCTTGCTGTGGCCCCCATGCCCACTGCTGCAGGTCGGCTGCATTCCCCGCACACCCGACCACGAAGTCGGATCCGCCCAAGCGAGGACGAGGCCAAACAACACTCCCATTGACACTCCCCTTCCGCGTTCACGCTTGGGCACCCCCAGCCCACACGGCAGCACTGCTCGGAGAAAAGCTCAACGGCGTGCACACAACACACAGCACACCGGCCACCGCACCAGCCATGCAAGAGGGCATGGCACCTACTGCTGCACGTTGTTGTCGCCGTCGCCCACATTGGCCAGACGCACTTGGCCGATTGCGACCAAGCACCTGTTGAAGGCCGGGTAGTGCAGCGCCTTCGTCAGGAAGTTGGCCGGCTGCTCGGTGGTCGGAATGTACCTCAGCGTGAATTTCCCGCGCTTCACCATGTGCTGCAGCCAGGCTTGTCGCCGCTCCATGTGCTTGAGGTTTCCCATCAACCCCATGCCCTCGGCGACGGTGATGACGAATTGTTGTCCACACGAAGGACCATCGGCGTCCCAGCGTCCAGCAGCCGGAACTCTGCAAGGAGGAAGCGAACGCGGCTTCCCTCCTTGCCGGCTTCGGTGGCCGCCACGTACTTTGACTCGGTCGACGATAGCGTCGCGCACTTGATGCGCTGGCTCTGCCAAGAATCCGCGGCCCCTCCGTAGACGAACACGTAGCCTCCCGTGCTCGTCCGGTTCTGCTCGGCGTCGGCGTCGTCGACGTCCACGTAGCCGACCAGCTTCAGCGACTCAGGTCCACCACCAAACTCCAAGGCGGTGTCACGCCTGTTAGCGAGGTAGCGAGGCAATGGTCGACCTCGCGCCAGTGCTGGTCGCTCCTCACCGTGAGGCCGCTCCCCAGCTTGCTGCAGGCGAAGGCGATGTTCGGCCTCGTCGTCGTCTCCGCGAACTACAGCGAGCCGACCTTCTGCCGGTACTCCTCCTCCTGACGCTCCTGCACTTCCTCGTCGTCGAACGTCAGCTTGGCGTAGGCGTCGACTGAGACCGTCGTCTTCGGGGTGCGCCCGGTCTGCTCTTCGTCAAGGAACCACCTACGCAGCTTGTCGGCGTAGCCCTGCTGATGCAGCCACAACCTCCTCGCTGGCCTGTCGCGCACGATCTCTAGACTGAGGTACTTCCGTATCGGCGAGATCTCGCGTAGCTCAAACGCTGTCTCCAGCAGCTCCTTCAGCTCTTTCAACATCACTGTACAGCTGCTGGCGGCGAGCAGGTCGTCGAAGTAGACCAGCACCCAGCACGCCACGCCATCCCCTTTGTCGACGGAGAGCGCTGTGTCGATCTGGCTCTTCTTCCAGCCCGCGCCTAGCAGCATACCGTCGAGAGCCCTGTACCACAACAGCGGCGACTGCTTCAGCCCGTGGAGGCTCTTCAGCAGCTTGCACACCCGGACGGTCCCGTCGTTGAAGTAGTCCAGCTGGTACATGTACAGCACCCGGTCGAGCTTACTCTGCAAGAAAGCATTCTTCATGTCGAGTTGCATCAGATTGAGGTCGAGGACGGCGACGATGCTGAGGAAGATCCTCAGCGTGACGTAGCTACTCACCAGCGAGTACGTCTCGTCGTAGTCGGCGCCATACACCTGCGTGAAGCCTCGCCTTCTCTCGCTCAACGGTCTCATCGATGTGGTACTTCGTCGTCAGCACCCACCGTTTCTTCATGATGTTCAACCCAGATGGACATTCAACCAGCTCCCATGTTCCCATGCCGATGAGGCTGTGGATCTCCTCCTCCATGGCGGCCTTCACCGCCTTGCCCTTCCAGCTTGCCAGCGCATCCTTCACCGTCATCGTCGACATGTCCCAACGGTGCTCGGGGTCTGCGTGCATGTCAGGGTTGAGCTCCAGCAGGTCTTCATCCTCCTCGACGTCGGCGAGGCAGCGATCGATCTCGCGCCAATGCTGGTCGCTCCCCAGCTTGCTGCAGGCGAAGGCTATGTCCGGCCTCGTCGTTGTCGCCGCGAACTGCAGCGAGCCAACCTTCTGCGGTACTCCTCCTCCTCTCGCTTGTGCGCCTCCTCTTCGTCGAATGTCAGCTCGGCGTAGGCGTCGACCGAGACTGGTGTCTTCGGGATGCGCCCGGTCTGCACCTCGTCGATGAAGCGCCTACGCAGCTTGTCAGCGTAGTTCTGTTGGTGCAGCCTTAGCTTCCTCGCCAGTCTGTTACACACGATCTCCAGCCCGAGACACTTCACGACCGGCGAGATCTCCCGCAGCTCGAAGGCGGCCTCCAGCAGCTCCTTGAGCATCGCGGTGCTGCTGCTGGCAGCGAGCAGGTCGTCGACATAGACGAGCACCCAGCAGGTCACTTCGTCGTCGCCGGCCTTGAAGTAGAGCGCCGTGTCGACCTGGCTCTTCTTCCAGCCAGCGCCCAGCAGCATACCGTCGAGAGCCCTGTACCACAGCAGCGGCGACTACTTCAGCCCATAGAGGCTCTTCAGCAGCTTGCCAGCCGGTTCTGTCGTCGAAGTAGTTCGGCTGGTACATGTACAGCACCCGGTCGAGCTTACTCTGCAAGAAAGCATTCTTCATGTCGAGCTGCATCAGATTGAGGTCGAGGACGGCAACGATGCTGAGGAAGATCCTCAGCGTGACGTAGCTACTCACCAGCAAGTACGTCTCGTCGTAGTCGGCGACGTACACCTGCGTGAATCTCTTCACAACCAGCCTCGCCTTCTCGCGCTCGACGGTGTCGCCGATGTGGTACTTGGTCGTCAGCACCCACCGGTTCTTCATGATGTTCACCCCGCATGGGCGTTCAACCAGCTCCCAAGGGACCATGCCGATAAGGCTGCCATGGCGGCCTTCACTGCCGCACCCTTCCAGCTGCCCATCGCCTCCTTCACCATCATCGTGGCAATGTCCCAGCGGTGTTCGGGGTCAGCATGTATGTCGGGGTCGAGCTCCGGCAGGTCGACGTCATCTTCGGCGTCGTCGTAAAGCAGGTCATCGTCGGCGTTGTTGTACACCGTGGTGAAGGCAGCTGGTGGCAGGCAGGCGTGGAAGACCAGCTGCTCCGGCGGGTTCCGAGTTCGACCTGAGCGTCGCAACTGAGGCTCCTCGACCGGAACCTTAACCACATTTCTGTTAGTGGACTCTTCTCCCGCCGACAGCTCCCCTTCGTCGTCGATGTCTGCGTCGTCGACCAGCTGCTTTGACCCTTCGACCGGCTGCTCACCTCTTCCTGACTTCGACAGCTCCCCTGTCGACTGCCCCATCTGCTGCTCCCCTGTCGACTGCCCCCGTGCTGTTGTCTCCTATTCGACTGGCTCCCCTGTCTGTGCTCCCCTGTCGTTGACAACTTCACTTCCTAGTCGACGAGCTTAGAGCCTTGTCGGCCGCTGGCGATGCCACTGGCCGGCGCCCAAGGCGACGCCTCAAGACTCCCCTCATCGCCGGTGGCCGACATAGGTGTTGACGAAGACCGATCTACGACGGGGGTGGGAGGAGCAAGAACAGGGGGAGGAGGAAGAACTTCCACGACATCCTCATCAGCATGCTCGTCGACCTCGGTGAGCAGCGGGACCGTCGCCGTCGAGGTATCCGTCGGCGGGTGCGCATGCGTCAGCCCCAACGCCGGCTCGTACTTTGCCTTCCACACCTCCAGCGACAGCGTCTCGTAGAAGATCACCTCGTCCGACGTGACCACCTTGTTGTCGGTCGGGTCGAGCACCTCCCAGCCCTTACTCTCCGGCGACACGCCCAGGTGAAGCCCCCAGCGAGCCTTCGGCGCCAGCTTCCCACCGCGCTGTTGCGCGGGAACCATGAACTGCACCATGCAGCCCCACACATGCACCAGCGCGAGGTCGGGCTTCTTCCCTGTCAGCAGCTGGTACGGAGTCGTCCCCGGCGTCGTCGTTGACCGCTCCAAGCAGTTGCGCACCCAGACGGCCTGTCGTAGGGCGAGATGCCACCAGTGGTGTTGCACTCCTATGTGCAGCAGCATTGTTCGCACGGACTCGACGACCTTGCGCATCTCCCGCTCAGCCATGCCGTTCTGCTGCGGAGGGTAGGGGCACGTCAGGTTGTGGACGATGCCCTTCCCGTTGACGAAGTTGGTGAACTCGTTCCCAAGGAACTCCCCTCCTCGGTCTGAGCGGAGCATCCGCACCGACTTTTTTGTCTGCAGCTCGACCAGCACCAACCACTGCTGAAACTCCCGCAGTGGTCGACGACCCACCCGTCGAGCAACCCTGGTCGGCGGCAACACCACAGTGATCCCTGCAGCTTGACGAAGCCCGTCGAGCAGCTCACTCACTGTGAACGGTCGGCTGTTTTTCCATACATCCGACCAAGTCGTCGGCGTTGCCAAAGCGAGGGCGGGGCCAACACTCATTCCCATTAACAGTACCCCGAACACCAAACCTACCGCGCTAACCTGTTGACACACCCAAACATTTGCAAACAGGTTCGTTAGGTTTGACTCTCCGTGCGACAAACCCAGACGACGGAAATACAACACACATTTTCGCTAGCAGTCACGCAACCACCAGCACATCGTCATCCACGCCAGCCACTTCAAGTTTTAGAGAAACTCACCGTCATTACCGCTCATTCGACCGTGACAATCTCCTCTCACAACTAGCTACAAAATCACCAATGTCGGGTCAAGCATATAATGGGCACGTCGTTAGAGGAATGGCGGAATCCTCCGACGCAGTGGCGTGGCGAGGCGCCGAGGAAACCGCACGTGAGTAAAGCAATGCGCGCGAATCGCTAACAGTATCACACCCGCCACCCATTGCTTCCCGCGCATTGGCCACCACAGTATCGCATAACCCTTCCCACGGTCTCCATCATCGTACTCCCGATAAAAAACCCTCCTCTTCGCCATCGTCGCCCTCCGCGCTTCCATACAGTCGCTGCACCTATTAGCCCACGCAATAAACCCCCTTCCCCGTCGCTCACCCTCCCCATCCCCCTTGCTAGCGTGCCCACATAAGACCCATGCGCGCCCGCCCCATCCCCCACGCGAGCACTCCCCTTCCTCTATTAGTTCTCTCCCCTTCCCGCTTGCTAGCATGCCTGTTCCCCCCCACGCGCGCCCTCCACTTCCCCTTCGCGAGTTTTCCCCTTCCCCGTCGCCCCTTCGCCCTCGACTCCCAGCTGGTACTTCCCCCCTCCTCCCTATCACTCCTCTCCCCATCACTATCGCAAGCACTCCCCTTCCCCCTCATTATCTCTCCTTTTCCCCCCAGCTAGCACTCCCCCCCTCCTCCCTATCACTCCCCTCCCCATCACTATCGCAAGCACTCCCCTTCCCCCTCGTTATCTCTCCCTTTCCCCCCAGCTAGCACTCCCCCCCCCTCCCTATCACTCCCCTCGCCATCACTATCGCAAGCACTCCCCTTCCCCCTCGCTATCTCTCCCTTTCCCCCTAGCTAGCACTCCCCCCCTCCTCCCTATCACCCCCCTCCCCATCACTATCGCAAGCACTCCCCTTCCCCATCGCTATCTATCCCTTTCCCCCCAGCTAGCACTCCCCACCTCCTCCCTATCAATCCCCTCCCTCGTCACAAGCACTCCCTTCCCCCGTTCACTATCACTCCCCTTCCCCATCGATAGCAAACCTTTCCCCATCGCTAGCACTCCCCTACCCCATCACTATCACTCCCCTTCCCCCTCGCGAGCATTTCCCTTCCCCTCTCACTGTCACTCCCCTCCTCTGTCATGTTCTCTCCCCTTCCCCCTCGCTCGCGTGCACGTCCCCCCCCCATGCGCTCCCTCCCCTTCCCCCGTCACTATCACTCCCCTTCCTCGTCGCGTTCTCTCCCATTCCCCCTCGCTAACGTTCCCGTCCCCCCCACGCACGCCCTGCCCTTCCCCTTCGCAAGCACTCCCCTTCCCTGTCGCTAACGCTCCTTTTCCCCATCGATAGCTCTCCCTTTCCCCTTCCCGCGCCTCACTCTCCTCCCCTGTCGTTATCACTCCCTCCCGTCATTTTTACTCCGCTACCCCGTTGCTATCTCCCCCCTGCCCCCTCGTGAGCATTCCCCTTCCTCGTCGCGTTCTCTACTCTTCCCCCTACCTAACGTGCCCGTTCACCCCCACGCGCGCCCTCCACTTCCCCTTCGCGCACACTCCCCTTCCCCGCCGCTATCTCTCCCTTTCCCCCCAGCTAGCAATCCCCTTTTCCATTGTTATCGCCCTCCTTCCCGTCACGCACGTACCCCTTCCCCGTTGCTAGCACTTCCCATCCCCCACGTTAGCACTCTCATTTCCCCTCACTAGTACTCTCCCTCCCCCCCCCCCGTCACAAGCACGTTCCCTTCCCGCTCGCAGGCGGTCCCCTTCCCCGTAGCTCGTATTCCCCTGACCCGTCGCTTGCAATCCCCTTCCCCGTCGCTATCAATCCCCTTCCCCATCGCTAGCACTCCCCTTCCCCGTCACAAGCACAACCCGCAACCGTCGCTTGCAATCCCCTTTCCCGTTGCTATCATTCCCCTTCCCCATCACACGCACTCCCCTTCCCCATCGCTGGCACTCCCCTTCTCCAATGCTAGCACTCCCCAACCCCGTCACAATCACTCCCCCTCCCCCTCGCGAACGATCCCCTTCCCCGTCACTAGCACTCCCCTCAAACGTCGCTTGCGATTTCCTTTCCCGTCACTCGCAATTCCCTTCCCCGTCGTAAGCACACTCCTTCCCCTTCGCTATCATTACCCTTCCCACTTCCTATCTCTCCCTTTCCCCCCAGCTATCACTCCCCCCTTCCTCCTTATCACTCCTTTCCCCTTCCCGAGCGTGCCCGTTCCCCCCCCGCAAGCACTCCCCTTCCCCGTCGCTAGCATCCCTCTTCCCCATGGATTGCACTCCCACCACCCATCGCTAGCACTCCAGGGTTCCCCAAACCTATCACTCCCCGATTCCATCTCTTTCACTCCCTTACCCCGTCGCTTGCACACCCCTTCCCCCATCGATAGCACGAACCCTAAGGGCGGATTCCTAACTTCGCGTCATCCGCACTTCGTGTCATCCGAGATTTTTTTTTCCCCGAGAAAAGAATTGCCGATTCGACTTCGGGTCATCTGACGCGGCACATTTGAGTGGTCCCACATGTTCGGATGAAACCAGGGCCAGATGACACGAAGTTAGGAATCCGCCCTAACCATTTTATTAGCACTCCCCTACCGCAATCCCTCCCCTTTCCACCCGCTATCACTCCCCTTCCCCATCTGTGGCTCTCCCCTTCCCCATCGCCAGCAATCCCCTACCGCGTAGCCAGCACTCCACCACACCAATCGCTATCACTCCCTGTCCCACAGCATGCACTCCCCTTCCCTGTCGCCATCTCCCCCCTTCATACACACTGACACCCTTTCCCCCCATCCTATCACTCCCGTTTCGTCACGTTTGTTCACGCCTAATCTGACTCTAACTCTCCTTTTCCCCAGCGCTTGCACTCCATGGCCCTCATCGCTAGCACTCCCCTTCCCTATCGCAAGCCCTCCCCTTTCAACTCGCTATCACCCCCACTCCCCTTCCATGTAGCCAGTTCCCCTTCCCCATCGCTAACACTCCCCTTCCCCTGCGCTGTCTCTCCCCATTCACAGTCGCTTGGACGACCGTTCAACCCAGCCCCCCTCTCCCTGTTCCCCGTCTCTCGCACTACCCGGCCCCGTCGCTCGTGCCCCCCTTCCCCATTGATATCTCTACCGCTCCCCCTCACTACCAAGCCCCTTCCCCGTCGCTAGCACACCCCTTCCCCCTTGCTCTCTCTCCTTCTTCACAACCGCTTGCACGACCCTCCCCCCCAAACTATCACTTCCCTACCGCGTCATTATTGCTCCCCTTCGCCCTCGTGAGCGTGCCTGTTCCCCCTTGCTATCACTCCCCTTCCCCCACGCTAGCTCTCCTCTTCACGGTCACACGCACGACCCATCCCCCCCAGCCTATCGCTTCCCTTCCCCATCACTGGCTCTCCCCTTCCCCTTCACTCGCACTCCCATTCCCCTTTGCTATCTCTCCCTTTCACAGTCGCTTGAACGACCTTTCCCCCCCAACCTAAGTCCACCTCTAACTTCCCTTCCCCATCACTGGCTCTCCTCTTCCCCTTTGCTCGCACTCCCATTCCCCTTTGCTATCTCTCCCTTTTACAGTCGCTTGAACGACCTTCCCCCTCCCCCCCTACATCCACCTATCACTTCCCTTCCCCATCACTAGCTCTCCCCTTCCCCTTCGCTCGCACTCCCATTCCCCTTTGTTATCTCTCCCTTTAGTCGCTTGAACGACCTTTCCCCCCCAACCTACATCCACCTATCACTTTCCTTCCCCATCACTGGCTCTCCTCTTCCCCTTCGCTCGAACTCCCATTCCCCTTTGCAATCTCTCCCTTTTACAGTCGCTTGAACGACCTTCCCCCCCCCCCCCCTACATCCACCTATCACTTCCCTTCCCCATCACTGGCTCTCCCCTTCCCCTTCGCTCGCACTCCCATTCCCCTTTGCTATCTCTCCCCTTCACAGTCGCTTGAACGACCTTTCCCAACCTACATCCACCTATCACTTCCCTTCCCCATCACTGGCTCTCCCCTTCCCCTTCGCTCGCACTCCCCTTCCCCTTTGCTATCTCTCCCCTTCACAGTCGCTTGAACGACCTTTCCCCCCAACCTACATCCACCTATCACTTCCGTTCCCCATCACTGGCTCTCCCCTTCCCCTTTGCTCGCACTCCCATTCCCCTTTGCTATCTCTCCCTTTCACAGCCGCTTGAACGACCTTTCCTCCCCAACCTACATCTTGGGGTCCACGTCTTTAGTGCTCCCCTAATTCAATCTCTAACTCTCCCTTTCCCCGTCGCTTGCACTATCCCTTCTCCCATCGCTAGCACTCCCCTTCCTCGTTGCAAGCACTCCCCTTTAATCTCTATCACTCTCCTTCCCCATCGAACGCACTCTCCCTTCATAATGTTATCAACACCTTTTACTGTCACTTGAACAACCCTTCACAATCACCCTTGTTGGAGTGCCCGTTCCCCCTTACTATTGCTCCCCATCCCCCCTGCTAGCGCGCCACTTTTGCGTATCGAAAGCGTGTGCGCAGTCGTCATAGAAGGTGAAGTATCGCAGCTTACTATCCCAGCCCCATTGCCAGCTCTCCCTCTCCCCATCGCTAGCACCCCCTCGCCGGCACTTCCCTTTCCCATCTCTAGCACTCCCCTTTCTCACTGTATCAACCCTGCCCCAAACATGATCACTCACATATCCTCCCCCCCACTCAACCGCACTGAACCATATTAGCACTCTCCCTTCCCCAATTATATGCACCCCACAGCCAACACTCAACACCCCTTTGTATCAAACCCACATCCACAAATGTGCTCTACCCTTCCCCTGCTGTATCAACCTGATAGCCACAAATTTGCACTCACCTTTCCCACCTTCCCGATCCCATAGCCACATAAGAGCATGGCCCTTTCCCCGCTGTATCCCTCCACCACACCCATCCGCAGGTGTGCGTTGCCCCTCAGCCCCACACCATGGCATCATTGCACGCCCCACAATCCATCGCCCACCCCGACGACGTCACACTCACACACCCCTTGTCATTGTGTTTTGCGTGTGTCTAACCTCAATACCTTGTTGTGTCCTATCCTGCAGTGAGCATCGTCTGTTGAAGCGTCGGCATGGGCTTCTGGGTAGAGTGAATGAGTTGTTTGAAGTGGATGGGGCTGGTGTGGTGGTTGACGAAGGAGGTACAATCAGCGCCACTTCAAGCAAGTATCGTGTGAACACGAGCCAGCCCTCTTCACCTAGCATCCAACTTTCACAATGCATTCATCGCATGCACCAACCAGCCCAAAAGCCCCTTATTAGGGTTCTCCCATTATACAGCTGGTCATTGCCCCATCTTCACGTTGCCTTCCCTAAGCAGTATGAAGTGCTGGAACAATGGGGTGCTAACTCGTTGGCATGCCATTTGACAGCCAGGAGCAGCTGAGTACAGCGGGGCGGGCGGCTGAAGTCGTGGTTCGTGTTTGTTGTGGTGCAAACACGAGTGAATCCTGTGATGGGGCGACAATGGAGCCAAAACACCATAGGTTCAGGTGTTACCTTGACTTCTCGGACCATTTGAGCGATCGTGAAAATGGCAGAGTCACTCTACCATGGATAGTGTATGTGGTTATCGGGTCATTGTATCTGGAGAAGGGAGATGAGGGGTACCTAAAGTGTTGCGCGTACGATATTGAATACTTCCTCCATGGTTGGGAAATCCCCGATGAGATTGACTTTAAATTATCCTCTTGGGATGCAATGTCACAGTAGCCATATAGATAAAACTTTGAATCATAGGCTTGGTTTATTTATAAGGGTTTGGCAGGTAGAATAAGTGTAGTTTCGTGCGACATACAGGCACGGTTTTCCCCATTACTCATAAGGGACTTGACTTGGCATGCCATGTAAACCACCAAACCTTTTTTCTAATAAATGTGCCTCTAATCGATGGTCGATTGGTTATAACAAATATGTGTGGTTGTACTGAGGAGCATTACTAATGTATTAGGTGATGCAAAGTAACACCGCTTTCAAATAAATGCTGGTGTCCGTCGCTGGGTCTATAGTTGCAGCACATGGAAGGGGGGAAATTGCAGTCCTGCCCATGAATGAGGGCGCGCTCTGTCTACGTTCTTGAGCACTCCTTGAAAATGATTATGAGTCATGGAACATAAGGGAATGGGATCCATGACTTCAACAGAGAGGAAGGTGTGAGAATGGATGGTGTGATGTTGGGGCGGTGAGTGGGTTAGGGTGCACATAGTGGGGAGAGGCTCGAGGGCAGGAGAAGCATGAATGGAGCATGTGACGGGTTGGGGAGAGGTGAGCCGATGAAGTCTCATCTCCCATGCCACGGCTCCCTTTTCTACGGGGGTTACCACTTT